AAGGAGTGGGTTATATCCCCCCTCCTCCTTTCCAGCCCCCTCCCCCTCCTCCAATTTACACCACTTTTTTGCACATCTGCATGAAAATTAGTAACGGAATGGTGCACAAAATTCATCCGTTCTGGTTGCTTCGCCAGCAAGACACATTTAATTAAAATGTCAAGGACCTTAAAACAGTTTGACATTTTGGCCGAAACTTTGATGGGATGCCACCTAGCTCTGGAGGATGCCAAAGCATTGAAGTGATAGAAGGTCCAGCAGTGGATGACAGGGTTAAACTCAGGAGGTCTGCCGTCTCAGCACAGCCATATGCAGCCTGTCATGCATGTTGTGTTCTCAAATGATCTTGCCCTTCTGACATACCAAACTGGCTGGTTGCTATGGCCGAGTGGTCTCAAAGGGGCATATTGTCGGCCTCATCTCTTTCTGTTAGAGAGCGATGAAGGCAGAGATTGCTCTTATGTTTTCATTTGTGCATGTGTGTGTGTGTTCAGACTTGGGAGCTGCACTGACTAGGTCAAGTTTTCAGGACTTGGATAACAGGCCCATTCACTAATGACAGCACAGTTTTATTGTTTGCATGTTTACATGGATCAAGGCCAATACGGGCGATTCACAATAATACGCCTCCAAGAGTTTACATCGCGTTGGCCAGTCACAATGCGCGAAATCTGTCAACCCAATGCACGTTTGGGAAGGGTCGACAGATGTCGCGTGTTGGGATTGGCCAACACGTTGCAAACTCTTGGAGGCGCACTATTGTGAATCGCCCGTATTTGGGAGGGCAGATTCAAAGCCAAATAGGAAAGCATCATTTACAAGTGCAACGACACTATCAGTATGTGGGCCTATTCAGTGCATTAATCATGTGAAAGGATGATTTGTTTTAATCATCAGTTTTTGGTTTCTCAAAAACCAGCCCCCGAAGGAACGTATCCCCGAGGCATCCGTGACGTATTCCCAAGGCTAATCAAGAATGAGGGATTCCCTGCACTGTTCAAGGGTATCACGCCAGTCATGATTAGGGCATTTCCGGCAAATGCGGTAAGTTTTGTCAAAAATGGTTGGCAAGATTCAGGCAGTTGTCATTGAAAAGGCAAAGACAATAAATGTCAAAGGCATAAGCAAGGACAGAGAAAGAGAAAAGGACAGGGATGAAAACATGGTGCTAGACGAAGATAAACGCCCAAAGACATGTACAGTGACAGAAACAAAGACAGGGACCAAGACCCTTAAGGACCAAGACATTGACAAGGACAAAGAATCAGAAATAAAGGACATAGGAAAAGTCGAAGGGTTTTGAGGAATAACAGTCAAGGATTCCCAAGTCTGTTTTTAGCAGATGGACACTTCGATTGTCATCCATTAGTATTCTTGTTTCTTGGTTTGCCCACTTGCAGGCCTGCTTCCTCGGTTATGAAATAGCAATGAAGTTCCTCAACTGGGCAACGCCCAGTCTGTAAATGTGCACCTGTTGTGGTGGTAAGTAATGACTCTTGGCAACAGTTGAGTCGCTGCGAATGGACCTTAATGGTTGATGTTATTAGGAGTTAATTTATTTCATGTTTGAATTGTTAGGACAGAAAAGTGGTTGCACGAAATACATCCCCAAGACTTGCCCGACAGGGTCTTGTTCAGAGTTCAATCCGGATTTTTCTGTCACATTTGTAAATAACTTGGATTAGTACATTATGCGATCTATATGAATTCATTCTGATAATTCCTGAGGGTTTTTAGCCATGCTTCTGGACAGTTTTTATATTTGTAAACTTGAATTGACACGAATTCTTTGTGCCTCAGTATGCACATGACTCAATGCTCAGGGCATAAATACACAAATGTTGCCGCTCATGGTCACGGCTAATGTAATTCTGGACATTGTATGTCAGCCGAAGTTTGTAAGGCTTGAAACCTAAAGCTACCTATACAATCCATGATTTCACAGCTGTCCACTCAGATTTTTAACCATCAAGAAATACTATTGTTGGGCTGTACCTTTCTAACTCCAAAAACCTTCAACATCCATCAGTTAGTTTTTGCAAGGATCTGGGAGGGTTGGATCAGTATTCGTCCTTTTTTTTAGCTGTAATCTTGAGTTTTGTTAGTGTTTAAAATATGACCTCCAACTTCAGAAAGATTTGTTGGTATAATTTTAGCAAAGGACGAACTTGATTATTGCTCAGAATCCCCATCGAGGGTCAAAATCAAGTTTGAATATTGTAGTTGTTAATCAGTTCGTGGACTGATAACATAATGATGCCAGGCTTTCTTAACAGGTGTACTTTCCCAGGGCATTGAGGTCGGACACAATCATTCAACCTGTAAAAGGCCAGTGCACGGGTAAACAAAGCCTTGCATCATGTTTTTAATTGGCTCCAATCGAAACAAAAGAGTGGTTTTTTTTATTCACCACATAGGTGCGCCATGAGGCGCGCATGTATATGCACGTTTGATGCCGAGTACGCATAACTAATTTACTCCAGCATGTATGGTCTTTGCGTACACGCAGAATGCTGCAAGAACCCGCTTTTAACCACCAGTCTTTCTTTTCGCCGATTGGGGGTGCACTTCAGCTCGGGGCAGAAAGGCCTTTTAATTCAGAACCCATAATGTGTTAGTTTATGAGAGTTAATGGCATACACCCTGCATACCAATACTACACGTAGCTTGCCCACGTAGATGTTGTCATGTCACATTAATAAGAGTTTCCCTTCACTTTCTAAATAGTATACAGAATGGCCATTGTTTAGAGACCCCTTAGTCTTTAAATGACATTGAAGTGAAAGAATATCGTTGTTAAAATGTTACTAAGACAGGAAGTCACTTCAAGTGCTCTTTTCACCTTCAGCGCAGTTGCAATGTATGTTACTCAGTAAACATCCTTCATCTTTTCTTTTCATAAAGAATGATTTTATTTACTCACCAGGTGTTATTAATCACAAAGAAGGCTGAACTTATAAGCTGGCCATTTGTAAAGCACGTGCACTTCACTATGTAAAGGCAAATTTTTATGTTTGCCCAAACCACTGAAATTCCATCCTAAGAAAATTCTACATTTTGCTTACTTGCTTCTGATGGAGTTGGGAAAAAAATCCCAGACTACCCATCCGCTTTACCACAGAGGATTGATCTACAAAGAGAACAAAAGATTCTTTGAGTCTTTGGTGGTTATCCTTTGGTTCAAAACAGCCCTCTGATTTAATTTATTTAATTTTTTCATTTAATTTTATTTAATTATTCATGTTTTAGTAAAGGCACAAAGGGAGATAAAACCATGCCTTGTGTCCCGTTGCTGTTTAATATGACCGTGTGGGCATGAGACTTACTGGAGTGACTTTACTGGTCGATTTGTTGAGGGCATTTTGTTTGAGACCGACAACAGGTACAGAGTAGACACTGCACTGGAGACTGATGCTGCAAGCTCGTGTGGTTTATTGCGGTCGTCACCATCATCTTTAAATAAGCTACACGTGCATGTTATAGACTTTCCACAAGCAGCGCTGGTCTGTCATTACTCGTTAGGCTTTGAAACTAATATTTTGCCTCGGTTGCATTTAAGCCCCGAGAAGGCCGGTCCTTACTTGATAGAAGAGTGGATGTGAAACAAATTTACAATGTCAACAGTCAAAGTTTCAGTGGAACTGTAGGCATAAAGCCTAGCACATTTCACGTACCTGTGTAATGAACAAGCATTAATCTTTACTCCAAAGTTTTACAATCCAACATTGAGACGCAATTCAAAATGCTTGTACCTGAACAAGGATCAGTTTTAAGTATAAAGCCCAGCTCAAAATAATTGCGGCATCTCTGAATCCATCATGTGAACACGGCAAATATTTTGGAGCAGTTAGTACCATGGCTAAATATCACTAGAAGATTGAAATCAATCAAAAAAATCAATCAAATCATTGTGGAAAATGTTGGACATTTCGTGACATTGCTTGAGATCACATGCAGTTCTACACGTAATTCATGAAACAGAATACCACGATCATTCAAAAGTTTCTGCCCTTTAAGAACTCACATCAGTATTACTCAATGGATATTCATTGTCTTTGAAGTACTGCAGACAGAAAAGCCTTGCATTGTCCCCAGTGTCAGCCCACAAGCCAGACCATTTTTGGTAAATGTTTGGGGTACTTTGTTTTTAATCACTCTGTAGAGTTGTCGAGTACCAAAATTCTCTAAGCACTGAAAAGACTTGCACAAAATGGCAGAAACAGGCTACTAAAATAACCTTCATGCGAGCTATTCCTCTGATTGTTTCCTAATTCTGAATTTTGTCACGCACAAAAGTGCAGCAAGTGACTTCTTCCAAGCAAGTCTGTGATGACATTTGGCCCAACTACCGATTATTTGCAGATTTAGGGTGGCCACTGTTAATTTTGAGAGGATTAGTTGCACTGCCTCAGGGATGAGATTTCTCAGCTTTTTAGCTGATTTCAGCTTTTTTTGTTTCGGATTTCAGCTTTGTTTTCCTCACTGGCTGTGTACAAAAGTATACGAGATTTTCACAGTTCAGCTTCTTAATGCCTTTTTCCGGCTATTTTTAGAACCTCATCCCTGCTGCATGCATGCTTCATTACAAAGGCAACTACAGATTTTGGCATTTGACAGGGAAGATTGAAAACAAGGAAGATCGAAAATGAAAACGAACAATCAATAACACACAGTGTTCTTCCCTGTATGGTCGTTTTTTCATGTGAAGATGTGATCCTGTTTTGAGAGTATTTTATAGTTAACAAGGTGCAATGGTCATTGTCACAGTCCTCGTTATTACCGACCGTATACTAGAAATCAATACAAGGTGTGTGATGTCAATAAATACCATGAAATCTCCAGTATTGTGTCAGTATTCAGTGAACATTCCCAACGCACTCTCAAACGCTTTTTTTGCAGGACAGTGCTGGTGTTGAATTGTGGTTCAGTTTGGGCGACATATAACAGGCCAGATTAAAATACATGACGCAAATGACTGCATGGTAAACTGTGCATAACTTCGAACACAGAAACTTTTGTGCCCTCTGCAATGTACATGTAAATAGAACATTGCTTAAAAATTGATTTGGGTGCAATTCACTTTTGATTTAAGCTTGCATTTCTTTTATCCATGGCGATTTGTACAGCGCGTTTCTTTCCTGCAAGTGTATTTCACATTTTTCTCAAAATGTACAGAAAATATGAAAAAGCAAAAACCTGAGAGTTTTTATCTAGAATAGAAAGCCTTCCATAATAGCCACATTAATTTACAATAACTAATCAACTTTCAAGATATTCTAGGTATTTGCACTCAAAAGGATTTTAAAACAAACTACAGTTCTGATGCCATCATAATCTTGTTATCTGTATCACTTAGTATCAACTGACAATAAAGGATTTACTCATGAAAGAATTCCCTTTTGCTTCAAATGACAATTACAGTATTATTTAAAGGTTTTCTTTATTCTCGATAAAGGACGGGTTGATGACGTCACTAGACCATATCAGCAATTCTTTTGCTCATTTTCATTTTGTTTTATTTCTTTTGTTTTTTACACAGATTTAGTCTTTTTTCCTCCAATCAGTGCTATACCGACTTCAGCCAGACACAAGACCAGTCATGAGGCAGTCACAAAGACCAAGCTGAACAAAGACAGAAATCATTTTCATGCCGTTCATTTAAGATAGCTTGTGACTTGAATTCAGACTGTTGGACCTCCTATGTTTGTCTTGTAGGGTCTGGTACAGGTAGGCCAACTACAACACTGGAATTAACTAAAACCAACAGTACAGCATTACAAAAAAAAGTGTGTACAAAGTATCTACAGAATTGTAACACCAGCAAAATTACGTCACATCAAAGAAAGGTTGTCAGCTGCGATAGGTAAATATTTACACAAGCGTTGAGGCCAATGGAAGTAACTGAAAGTTTCATTTTCAGAATGTACACAAAGCGTTAAATTTAGAAGTTTCACTTCAGATCTGAGTTTTACATTGTCAAAAACAACTGTTAAGCATGTACACAAGAGCCCATTGAGTGTCACAATACCACTTTAATACAGTGCAGTATAATACGTAGGCTACACGGCGTGCCTGACTAATCACTTTACATGTACATGTACTTTCTTCTCATGGGTGAAGAATAGAGAGGCCGGGCTGAAATGACTTTTTAAACTGGGCACCAGATACCCATGCAAAAACTACATTCAAATGAGCATTCATCAAAGATGAGTCACTTCGCTACATATTTCAATGATCCTATGCTTGCGCAGGCTATGCAAACCCACTACCATGCCATTGCTATGTAAAAAATACACCCTCACTTTAGCTCTTGTCAAACATGCATGATAGGCCTATTCACTTCAGTTTTCAGTCTGTTAAAGAAAGTCCATGGAATGTGTTTTATAAGTGATGAATATTTCCCAAAAAATGTACTTACACTACACAGGTGAATTCATTTTCTAAATTGTATACAATTCTAGTGTGACATGTTGAATCAATATTATGTTTTTTGGATATTTACAGCTTACTATGGCAACCAATGTCATGTACAGGCATGGCTGATTTTTCTTCTCATTTCTTCCTTATAAATTTGTCAACTTGAAGCAAACAATGAATGGCCTTCTGTTCTAAGGATGATGAAAAAAATGAAAAATTTGCTAAAGGCATAGACTGTTCTTTCAGTAGTTACTTCTGTAAAACAAAGCAAGAGATTTGAAACTGTTTTACCTCAATCAAAACAAAAGTTGTCGACAAGCATGCCTTAAGGGTGGTTCATTCTTTGCCGAAGAGAGAACATTAAAGCAAAATTTTGATGTCAGATCAACCATGAATGCTACGAATTTGTATAAGTTAGCACCATTAGAACACTGGTGAAAATCTAATGAATTCTGTCGCAAATCTGATGACAAAAATTTTCTCCCCTCTCACATTCGTCCGTAGCATAATCTAGCATTGACTTTCCCACTTGAAGTTCACATTCATATACACAAAAGAATGACAATTAAGAACAGCAGAATTGTCCTACCTCCTGTAAAGCAAAACTGGACTGATTTCTTTGTCATTTTGAAGAGATTAATGCCGACAGATTTTACCATTAAAAAGGCAAGCCTAGTCTTGTTTTACATGGAAGCAAAGTTTTCTTGTTGAATACATTTTCAGTCCTTGTAGGCTCTGGAGTTTCAAGTGATTCACATTTCCCATAACAACAAAATCTTCCCACACCTTTGAACCCAACCTCTCACATGCAAATCCTAACAGGTATTTTATCCTGAAACAAAATACATGCCTCATGGGAAAAAAATCATCAAAAATGTGGCTTTTTGTAGTAACAAAAGAAATTAAATTATAACTTACAAGGAACCACCCAAAATATAATGTAATCCCACTTTTGTCAAGGAAATGGCTCTGTATAAAGTGCAAAACATGGCTCTTTCATAACAAGGAAATAGTAAAGTACATTGTGCTCCACAACATTTCCTTTTTTATGCTTGGCCATTTTCTGTTGAATTTGTTGGGACAAGGAAATAGCGAGGTACATTTTCCAAGTAGATCATTGCAGATTTATTATTTAGATCACAAAATATGTAATTGAACATATAATATTGCATTTATATATTATAGGTTAATGTTTCAAGTCCATGCTCTGCCATTTTATCTGTTTGCTTGGGTTTTGGGGGTTTTTGTGTTTTTACTACTTTTGTGTTCTTAATAATAGATTCAGTAAGAAACTGAAAAATATGAATTATGCAAACTGAGTGTTGAGTAATGCCAGCTTCTCACTCTCCTTTTGTTTCTCACTTATGATTGAAGGGTTCAAGCAACTGATGTACTTACAACTTGTAGTATTTCGAGTCCACTTTTATCTTGTATTAAAGACAAGATCAGTTGTTTCTTTTCCTTTTTTTAAGCCCCAAATGGCAAGTGCTTTGCTAGACTCAATTGCTAATCTTACTGATCACAATGATTACCTCCATTTTTTTCTAATTAACAAACAAACTGGCAATTCCAAAGATTTAAATACCCCACAATTACCTGTTTGAGATGCATCGCGTCAATGGCCTATTTCACGTTCTTTTTTATGTACATAAGCAACTTGCGTGCATGTAACCGTGTCATGCCCAAGTCCTCCGTCAAGATATCCTCCTCGAGTTCAACTAGCAATTCCCCTTGCACCTCTTCCTGTTTGAACTTCTCAACGTACTGCCCTAAGTTCAGCTGCCTCAATATGTCGGCCACACCCTCTACGTCAGTGCGGGACATTAACTTTGTCTCAACCATAAGATCTCCGGGGCTGTTGTAGATAGCCGCTCCTGGGCTGATGGGCAGGTTTGGAAGCGGGCGCTCCGTGGGTGAAATGGTGTCATAAATTTCATCATCATCTTTGGATAACAGACGGTCGATCTGGACCTGAAGTCGGTTGATCTCATCAATGTTTCTGTAGTTAGACTGTTGAATTCGTTCTCTCTCTTCCTCTAAGGCCTGGAAGTAAGACATAACACCAAACAAAAGTGCAAAAGACCTTGGTTGATAAATAGCCTCCCTACTGAAATTTGGAGGAATTCTGGAGTTTCCTCAGAAAGTCTACCTGTTTGTACTTGTCTAGAGATTTGTATTTGCCAATGTCTTCAACTATAGACTAGATAACCCGGACTTAGTTTCTGCATTAGGCATGTGAGTTCTCCTCTGATAAGCTGATTTTCTTATATTTATATTTCTTTTATTGCAAACTGAAAAGCACTTTACAAATGTTTTAGACTTGTCCTCGTGTTTCTTTCAGAACTTTAAGGTCCATGCCGGTTTCTGACATAATTTCTTTCAATACAAACCTTGCACTTCTCCGTCAAGCGTTCATTTTCATCCCTCAGCTTGGTAATTGTCTGCAATATAAATTTAAGACAATAACCTTGTGAACACAAATGCGTCGAACCATATTAGGATTCTCAATTGAAAAAGCCTTGCTTAGTTTGGTTGGCATGGCTTCTCCTGCTGAAAGCAAGTTGTGATCTGAGTCTAAACAAGTTTGATGAAGTAGCAATATTTCTTTGCTCAAGAAGCTGTCTGATGATCAGCAATTGCAGCAGTCGTCATAGGATGTCATTTCATGCGTTCTCTGGTGAACTTCAAAGTTTCACATGTGGTACGTGAACGGGGAAATGTTCTTCCTTCAAAGGAATTTGGTCAAAGGGTCACCTTTTCCTTTTGTTGCAGTATGATCTTCAGCTCTTGACAGGCTGTGTCTGTGCCTGCCTTTGTAGTGCCTGTCGTATCGGGTACAACTTCATAGTCATCGTCGTCTTCCTCGCTACAGAAACAAAAGGTTTCGAACTCCTCAAAAAGTCGTTCAGTGTAATAATTTTCTTGTCATGTCAATGCATTGCACGTGGAGAAAACAGTGGAAAACTTGTGACCACGCCCACGTGCTCAAAGTGCAACATTTCTGTCAGAGGTTCTTAGATGTACATGTACAGGTTGCTACTTAGTTTTAAGCATCCTTCCAATTGTTGCTGTTTGTGTGTCTCTGTGAATGGCATACTTCTTAACTTTAGATGATTAATGCTACGGTAATTTGGGTTGGGCTCCTCTTCAACATGTTTAATATGTGATCTTTATAATACAATATATGTACATATACCGTCAGGCGGTTTGTAGGGCATTCGAATAAGGGCATTAATATGTGCTTTGCGGTCTTAAATATGCATTTAATACCAGCTTGGGAGAATGAACGGAACTGCATGTGAGGGCATTGTCAGTCTTCCTTTGTTAGTTTAAGACCAACCCAAGCACATTTATTCCCATTCATCAATACCGTTTTAGTCAGAGAGTCGAAAGAAGTCAATATATGATAAATTTCCAGGGATTTTGTTCAAGAATGTTACTTTCATTTCCCGACACCCCCGTCTATTTTGGTATGTTCCTTGTGCCAGCAGCCCAGAAGAATCTCCTTCTTTGGCATTGGTGCGGGTATGGCAGGTTCTGAGTGTCACAGTGCGCACAGTTTCTTGACCAATAGGAATGGATCAAGCTGTCTTGTATCCAGGTGCTGGCGTGTTTTTACACAATGGGCATTATCAAATGTCAATACACAGTCGTGTTGCATTGAGAAACTCAGGTATTTATGAATACCATATCATCCGAAAATAGACAACACTTCAAATTGAAATGATTAACTACTGACGATGGCTTCACCTGACCAGATAGTTTTGCTGCCATCACTTACCCTCCCATGCTAACAGCGGGGATCTCATAATCATCAGAGTCCTTGCGGCTTTTTCCCCGCGGCTCATATTTAGGAATTTCTTTTGCTTCAGCCTCTGAGGCAGGTGTGCTGCGCGGTTTTGGATGTGGCTTTGGAACCAGCGTCGGAGGTTTTGGAGGAAGCTTGAGTGTTTGTGGCTTTTGGGGTCTGGGCGGTGCCACTGGCTTGTCCCGAGTCGGAATGAGCGGACGGTCCACCTGGTCCAGGAAGGAGATCCTGCTGGTGAGATCCTTGTTGTAGTTGGTCAACTCCTTCAGATCTCTCACCAAGTCTTCCTTGGAGACTTTGGCCACTTTGCAGACACGCTCTTTTCCTTCAAGCAACCAGAGCAAAAAACAGAAAGCTTATGTGAGATCCCCCAATGTTTTCATTCAAGGTTCTCTAAACTCCAAAGGCATGACAAGTAGGTAGCAAAGAGGAAAAGTAACTTTTGTACTGTGAAGCAAGCCACTATTCACTATTGCTGCTTCTTGGTTTGGAGCAGGAGGTGACTATTGTTTTAGAGTAGGTTAGGCTTTTGTGGAACTATGAAACTAAGAGGTTTGGAATTTATGAGGCCGTATCATGATGACCAGACTTGTTTTCATCACGGCATGTTACTATAAGTAGTTGCAATCACTGGTTCTGGGGGGAACGGTCTGGTATTAACGGGGGCAATTCCATAGAACAAAAAAGAGCAAACAAAACATCTTTTTTGAAAATAATTTGAGGTCCTTCCAAAAGCATGTGAAAAGCCCCTAAATGGAGCCACTTAGAAAGGCCATGAAAAGTTATATGAAAAGTTTTGAAATTTTTAGGCCCCTCATCAACAAATGGCCTTTTCAAAAGTTGGCCAAAAATGTACTTCAGCTCAACAACTACTTGCAGTGTCCAACCTGCAGCTGCACTATACCTTCAAAACTCTCCAGCCAGCCACGGAGAGGCTCGGGTAAGGGCTGGCAAATTTCGCTGAGGCTCTTGGGAAGTTGGAGCCTGCCAAACTCCATGACACCCCACGTGAGATTGATGTTGGGAAACAAGGGAGGCAGACAGGAATGGACAGACTTGTCCTAGATGAATCCAAATCATAGGGAGCCAATTAATGCCATTTTGGCACTCAGGAGCTAAAGTTACTACAACTACTTTTGAATGGAACAACCAATTTTGGTCATTTGCATAATTTCTCATTTACACTTTCCCCCAAATTTTGAGGTTAGAAAAAAATATAATGAAAGCAAAATGAGAATTTTTAGAAAGTGGAAACAAACAGAAATACCTTGAAAGAAATGATGGACAGGGCCAGGGGTACGGAAAGTGGGATGGAGAGAAGGCCGGGCTTCTTGGCTCGAGTTGCTATCACCTGCAGATCCTTCTTGAAAGATAACAACTTGAATACCTTTTCTTCCTTCGGCTTGCGCTTCTCAAAATTGGTTTCCTCGACAACTCGCACTCTCTTTAAAAAAGACACGATTCATTCCAGCTATCAATTAAAATGGATTGGCAAAAGCAGATAATGAAGTAATCCTTTTAAATTGCATTTTGGTTGTTGTTTACTGTTTTTTTATACCTGAGGGAATTCAAGCTCAATCAGCTCGGACATGTGCAGGAAAAGCGCTGACATCATAGTGGTGAAGTGAGCACAGTCCATGTCTTTGTGAAGAGCCAGGCGGTGTCCGATTTGATTCTTGGCGATCAGAACCTTTGGGCAAAATTCGCAAATCATGGGTGTGAGCCAAAGAGTTTAACACTGTCATTATGGTCACTTCTAACTTTCCTCCCACGCGCACTTTAACAGCAATACATCCCTTGTCTTGCTCCCTAACTCCTGTCCAGTTCCTACCACCACTCAGCCTAACTAGCATCAGTATTCTGGGTCACCTTGCGGCCCTAATGCAGGCTGATAATCAGGGCCTCCATGGTCATGAGATTTCCCAGAGTTGAGCTGGAAAGTCATGGAAAGGTAATGGTAAACTGGGGGGAGTGGAATAAGACGTCCAGGAATCCTGTTTTCAAACAAAAAAGTCATAGAAATTAAGATGGCTACTTTTGATGTGATAACAAAATAATGACAAATTTATAGGTTTTATCCTTGTCAGTCTGCATTAATGGCTATATTTCTTTCAGTTTCAACAAACAACTTTTCTCTGCAAAATGGTCTTAAATGTCGTGGAAATTGTCATATTTTAGTCTGGAAAAGCTACAGAATTTGGAATTTGATTCTGAGATTTCTGTGATAACCCTGGTAATCCCATACCAGCTGTCGTCCCTTGTGCCCTAGTCTCTAGTCTCCACTGGAATCCAGCTATAACCTCCCCCTCCCCAGCCACAACCTTTCTCTCACTAGTATCCTGCAGTGTCTGTCCCAGTTCCCCATCCAAAATTCTCTTTGGCCTCTTTCCCACCAGTGCCCTTGTCCACATGTCCCTAAAATCCCAGGCTCTATTCGCCAGCATCCGTGCAGCTTCTTTCTACAAGAATTTCCTGAGCCAACATTTCATCATCCCCTATCCCACTGAAGGGCGGATCCGGAGGCCCAATTGAGGGCCATGGCCCTCAGGCTCTTAAATATGGAGCACATGTATATACAGGAATTTCCCAATTTTGCCCCCTCCCCCCCAAAAAAATCTGGCCTTCTGGATCTGTGCTTGGTTGCATTCCACCCACCCTCTCTTTGCCATGTCTCCTGTCTTTCTCCTCGATGTGGCTGATCTGTATGATGTCTTCTTGGTCCACGCACTCCGAGTAATCGTCAGACCCATATCCTTCCAGTACCCGCACGACAGATGGTAGCGGTTTGCTGTTCATCAGAGCTGTGACTCCTGTGTACAGCTTGTCATCCAAGCGAGGATCTAAGCAGAAATATTGTTAAATAATAATAATAATTTCATTTTAAAAGAGCGCTATTAATTGCTCATCAAAAAGAACTATCAATTTGCACGGTTGTTACAAAGGATCATCCTCAGTTAGGACCTTAAATGTAGTGACATGAACTACATGTGTGCCAGGCGCATTTTGTTTACTTTAAACTCTCAGGTGCGCCATTCCCTAAATTCAGGGTCCAGGTGTGACATGCACTTTTGTGTTCCGGTTACCCCTGACCTGTGTAATTGAAACTGACTTCGAACTATTTCTGTTTGTTTGGCTGGTAATTTGCATAAATTCACCACTCTTGGAAATTAGAGAATGTGTTCTAGATCTGAACTGAAAAAGAATCTGAAAAATCATATGTCAGATGAGACAAGGTCACAAAAAATTGGAATTAAAAGAACCACTAATTTTCTAGATCGTAAATTCAAAGATGAATGGAGTCGGAAGCAACTTCGTCCTCAGAATAATCTTTACCTATATAGATTCATGCTTGAGTAGTTGCCTAATTACGGTATAGATGAATAACCCAATGTCGTTCATTGACATGGAACAAGAGTAGAAACTGCCTGCTGCATTTTGAAATCGTTAACTTGAGAAATAATATACTCATATAAAATTTCAAATGAATTTCATTTTGCTAAATTTGAAACACTTTTTTGTGTTACGTTGTATATGTGTATTTATATATGTGTGTTCATTGCTATTCCTTTTTGATTATTCAAAGTTGAAAAAAAATTACTCAATTTTCAAAGTTGAACTTCTCGTGGAAATTACACCTTCAGATACAAAGCTGAGGCTTTTCGTTTATTCATTTCCATTCAATTCAGAAGCATTTTCTCCAAAATAAAGTCCTTTGAAAAATAAAACAGGCAGCTGGACTGAATGCATCTTGGTAATCGTTATATATTCAGATCGTACAAAATGAGGAAAGTAAAACAGTGTGCAAACGAGGTAGGAACATGAATGAAAATTGATCTTCAAATTTAATTGAAGTTTACGTGAGTCCGCATAGATCGAACACCGTAAATTGAAAAATGCCAAAAGCCCATGTGAACGTTATAACAAAACTGTACGTTGTAATTCGCTCTGCCCTCCATCACACTGTCATGAGATGATTTTATTTTTCCAAATTTTATTTCCGTGTAGAGTTGCCATAATAGCTACTGTGACATACAGTTCCACCCAACTAGACGCATGTCAACTTCACCCCGTAACCACCGCGAGATTGGTGCTTCGATAAATCCTATACCAATAGTTAACGTCTTTTTTCTTCCGACCATGCATGACCAAAAGGGTTGGTAATTGTTGAAACTCAAAAGTAGACGAGACAAGCTGGAATTTTCCATTTGTGAGTGTTTTTTCCCAGGCAGAAATTGTAACATGCCAAAATCCAGGGATTTGATTTTCTTGACGATGTCAGCTCCCCAGAGTTCTGTTGTGACTGTTCACAATATTTTCTAAATCTCAATGTACTGTAACATACCAGACGCCTGGCTGTGACACCCACAAAATCAGGTGTTGTCATTTTACGAATTCAAAGTAATTGACCTTTTTATGAAGGACATGTTGATTTTAAAAAGTACAGAGTCAACTAGAATTGAGGAGTGGCACACTTTAGAGTGAACTTCGATCACTTTTACGTGGTCCAATCACGCAAATTGTTGCGCTGCTTTTTCCCCCGAATTGGCTTCTCTTCTAACTTTTCATGAAAGACAACTGTGACCTTTGTAACCCTAAAAAACCTCCCTGACATTGCCAGCGATATTGTCTCTATACATTTGTTTTCGTGCCAAGCCTTCAAGAATTACTCCAACAATGCTTAATGATAATTTGGTCATCAATTGTATGAAAATCGGACATGCTGTTCTCCGAGGCAGGTCTTTTTAGCCAATAACTTTCAACTTTTCCTCTGACGTGCTCGAGGTACGCAGGCCGACGACGTGCGAGGCTATGACCATATTAACGACAAAATTGCATTTCCACAGATGTAGGCCTACTTATAAAAAATGTTTTACACGAATGTCAAGTTTTAAACAAAATCACCTACAGGACAGCCAAGATCTTTTGGCTGGAATTTGCCCCCGACTGTTAGATATGGTGCGAAAAATTCTGCTTCTATTTAACAAGGTTGATAATAAACGTCCATATTAAAGTGGAACAAAATGATCTGATACTGTGATTTATCTATTTTTTGACTAGCGATATCCCTGCTATTAGATAGAGCTCGATTGGTCTGATTGCCTTTTTCGATTTCATCATTGTCCATGAAAGCTGTAGTTTGTTTGGTCAGTGTCATGTGACAGCTGGCATATAAGCAGGAACATGAAAGGGGAAAAAACAGAAAAGGGAACAAATTTCACTTCCGTGAGTAAGCCAGTGTTGCAACGCCCGGTTCAACATCGTTTTATTTTTTACCGGTCGTTTTCGTGTATACTTCCTTTGTTAGAACATACCTATTACCTTCACACTATCATTGCTGACATCTGTTGAATAAACGATTTTGTATCTACTTTTCCCTTCTGAATTTACCAAACACAATTATTCTACAATGAGTTTTTCCTCAGAATGCACACGCCTTCATATTGGGGATGGAATCGAGCGTTCTTATAAATTCAAATGTTAGGATCTTGAATTTTACGTACAACCTGTAACCTTCATTCATATGACTACATTGAAAACCAGTGCCATTTTTAGACCACAGGTAAACCAAGAAACAAAAGAAAGCCCCGAACAAAGTAGATTTTTGCAACGCGCTCTTGAAGGTTAAAAGGGTCTGCACATTGCCTGCATTTCTCGCTCAGAGGCGATCCAGAAACAGTATACTTACTGTTTTTTTCCATTTGGATGGTGAGAGTATATACACCCCCCCCTTCTTTTCGACAAGGGGTATGGGCCACTGAACCACCCCCAGCTCAACTTCTTCAATGTGAGAAAAAAATTAACTTAGTCGGATTTTGAAGAATGTTTCGGACGTTCAATAACACTCAAAAGGGACTACCAAAAAGCAATAAATAACGTCGTTTTGCCTTAAGATTCAGCCCCCCCAACTTTTCCAATCGGGGGCAAATAATCCCCCACAATTCCCAATCCCCCATCACCCCCAACTTCTGGCACAAACTTACGCCACTGGTTTCATTTGAAAGAATGATGGACTTGACTTCTCACATTATATAATCGAGGAAATAGTCGGTGCTGCATGTCACCTACTTTTATTCCCCATTTTCACGAGCGCACAAGTCCTGCGCTGAAGGAGAAGGTTATACTCAACGCTTATACACATTAAAAAATATTTTAAAAGATGGAAGCGTCCCGCATAGAAATACTCTTCCTTTTATCAGCTTACACGAGTCTAGGAAGAAAGAAGGGGGTCCAGATCAGGGCGTGCCCCGTAGTCACCACTCCGCCCTAAATAGTTACCACCATTTCATTATGCAAAGCGGTGCAACCTCGCATTTTACGTTTTACTAAGCTGTACACTAGACGTAGTTTAAATTTAGCTTTCCCAAAATCTCAAATTCAAAGAGAAATGTTAAGAACTCTGTGTGTTATCGGAAGCTGTGTATTTCCGCCGTGGTAATTTTTCTGTATAGTCCTATTTTTTTTCTTACAAGACCTTGGCACATTACCTTGTGCCTGTTGGATAATCTAGACCTGTGCTAAGGTTCAGGGGGAGAGATGCTCCGTATGCTCCCCTGAAATTGATGCTAAAAATGGATGGCCCTTAATTTAGATTGAGCGTGAAACTTTACCTATAGGAAGTCTTTCGTAGAGCTGCTCGGCATGCACGGGTAGCCATACTTCGCTACCGTTGGATGTATCCACCGCGTGGACACGAGGAAGCTCGGCGATGAAGAGCAAGAGGAGCGACTCCCCCTTGTCCAACTTCAGGTCGCTGCCCTCCACCGAGAACTTCTCGCCAACTTTGGCCAGCTGCGGCAGCTCGTGCAGGGCGTCGCTGCAGATGCGGGCCAGGTCCGTGTCCCTGTCCTCTGCCTCCAGCTTGAGGCTGAGCTTGGCGGGGAAGTCCTCCGGCGGCTTGGGGCAGTGAGGGCCGGTGGGCTCTGGGGGCGGTTCCCTGTGCTGATTCTGCATGCCGAAGTACCTCTGAGGGGTCCAGGCTTCGGGCGGTGGCGACCAGTCCATCTTGGCTTGAGTGTGAGGCACCCGTTCCGGCGGTTTGTACTCCTTTGGCTTGAAAAAGGACTTCCGCTTAACCACGGGTTTGACTACTCCGTTCATTGATCTAAACGCAATAAAACTATCGTGCGGCTGATAATCATGCGTCACAATGTATGTATTGGCCCACTCGAAGCCAAACAACATTCATTTCCAACTCTATGAATCAAATCTTTGTCTTTCCGTCCAGCCGTGTGACAGCAAATATGGCGGTGATCTGATTGCAACCAACCCCTAGACCTATAGTGGATCACATTGGACCCTGATAGGCTTCCGAACCTCCATCGCTCAATACCTGTTCACATCAAACAATAAAACATTTTACTTTGTGATGCAGTGACCCGTTAAGTAAACTTAACCTTCATAGGGGGAAATCCCATGACGCAAGCACTATGTTCTAAAATGGTGGTTCTGAACCGCAAACCCAAATGTTGTCAGCTCATGCACGTCAAACACCACAGTGATGTCGTGAGTTACGTGGAAACAGCTCTACACAGGAACACGGAAATGCAAATATTCTGTTCTTTTAGTTCGTAAACTAGAATGCTTTGGTACTTTTCAAGATAATATATCCAAGGGCAGGTCCAGAACTCAGTTTTCCAGAGGCCTTTTTCAGGGGAGATGTGAGGGAAGAATAATGAAAATTTTCCTAAAAGATCACTGTTCTCTCCTGGACTGTGTCAAACACAAAAGAATGGCCCTCGTTGGCCTGGACTGATTGATACATTGGCATGCTTTAATTGGGTCTATTCGGTCACTGGGTGTATAAAATCGTAATCTTGTCAAGCACACTATCTAGGTTGTAGCTAGGCCTACACAATAGTGTGGTTGCACAAATCACTGTGTTCTGGCCTGCCTTCCAACACGTAGAGCCTACACATATCTTATCTGATGTTAATTTTTTTCTTTAAGCTGCATTTTAGATTTTATTGTCTCTGATTTATGATGCCCTCCCCCCGTCACTCCACGTTTGTCCACCCGCTCATTGTCACTGCGTAATTAGTAACTTTACTTTGGGCGACAGATCGAGAGGGCGCTCGACATACTGACTGCTGTTCATACACAGACGTAATACATATCCGTAAACCACAGTTATCCTAGCAATACTTGTGGTGTTTTGCTTGCAATTAAATATAAACTATTGCTGTGACCAGGAAATAGAGAAGACTCCCTGATATTAGACCTACTTTTGCCATCGTGAATAAACTTTATAAATTTTGATACACTGTTCCATTATCCATACAAAGTGTGTGATTTTATTCCTCTCCCTCGATCCACATACATCAGTTTTCAAAGACTTGGTACGGATTTGGCTAAAAATGGCCAACAAAATGTTGACTACTGCTGGAAAGCTAAGTTCATAGGGAACAAAATGCACTATTTCATCGCAGGGAGTGATCATGAAATCTCGTAAAAATGTCAAAATGCCTTTTGCACATATGCAATAATAAAATCATTCAAACCAAACACAAAATCTTGTGAAAAGTGAGGCAATTTATCCCAAAAATAACTCCAGACGAAAGCGTCCATTAATGATTGCACTGCACATTTAGGGCACACGGTGTAATGCCAGCAACTGCGCAGTTATGTTATGAGCTCATAGCAAGCGCCAACAAAAGCATGAATATTAAATTTCCTATACCTCAGTACACAAAGTTTTAAGGATGCAGATTACCTGCGAAAAAATGCTGCGGCGATCGTATCGCGTTTTTGAAATGGGTGTATTTGGTTAAGACTTTGATCTCGTTGGTTCCGATCATTTTGAAGCAGAGTTCGAAACCATTATGTTCATGCTCTGACCATAGAGCTACAACTGACTAACACCAGCGAAACTGAAGTCTATCCGAATCCACTCGTTTAGGAAACGCTCATAGGGTACAACAAATGGGTTTTGTTGATGTGAAACAGACGGTGCGTTGCCAGCCCTCGCTGCGACGCTCTGGCCTTGCGCCTGGCTACAGACATACCGGGCATGCTAGAAAGCGGTATTTGGCAAGATGTTATAGCCTGGGCAGTTCAAACTCCTTTTGTGTCCTTCCTCTATGTAAGATGCGCTGATGTTGTACTTGTGCGTTACATGTAGGATACATTATTCGATATTTATTCTACATGTATCTGATTTCTAAAGTTCTACAAGCACCTACATGGATTAAAAATGGCCGCGTCCAGGACGGCGTCAAGTTTTCTCCGTGCGGAGAATGAGAAGTTATTGCTCTAGTTTTCATATATAGCTCTGTGTTTGCACTACAATTCCTGGTTCAAAATGACGTCACCCTTCGGCAATTGACTCCAACCAATAGCCGTCATTCGTCCACCATAGCCATGTGCATGTTCTCACATTCTTTCTCTCGGATTATTTTTTTTTACGGGTTAAAATAGTGACGCTATGGGAACCAAAAACGCTGCGAGCGCGGTTCAACTTTCCTCACTAAAAGCAGGGGAAGGCCTACCCACCCCTTCTCATGTGATCCTTTGGTTCCACCACTGGCATTATTTACGAGTCCTTTTTCAAGGGTCATACTTCCCCCTTTTGATTCAATTAGTTAAATTATACTTTATATTAAATATTGTCTGTGGAATTAAAAGGAGGTACTGAAAAAGGGAGACTAGTTCAACATAATGACATGATTTAAATCTTCATGAATAAAAATGCAATATTAGATAGACAAGGTTTATGCAGCGTTCTTTATGAAAACTGAAGTGAGTACAATGTAGTTTTAGTTGCACAAAGATACAAGGGCCCAATTAAAACCAAGCCTGTAATATCGATGGATCTCAAGGAGTGGGGTGGGGTTTCTCCCGTAAAGAGGTTTGTTTACAGTTTTGACGATTTGGTAGATCTACTTCCCTTTCTGCTCAATACGTGTCAAAAACTTCGATGTTTAGCCTCACACCTGAGATGGCTGACAAAGACTAGAAGAAATTGTCCATTTTTAGCCCTCAATAAAATTTAAAAAAAAAAAAATTGCGGAAAAAATGGCCATATTCGCCGAAATACAGAAGACGTTAACTTCTCGTGTTCAACCTCCAATAGTCACAGTTTATTACGTGTTCGGTGTGTCAATACACGTCAAGGGCAAAACACTCGACAATAAAATCAATAGCCAAGGAAATTTAATAATTGACCCCCCCAAAAAAGGCTACAGTCGACTCAATTTCTCGGCTTCACAGGACGTATGGTAGGATTAATTAACAATTTCCTCCACTATAAAACCATACCGGAAACAGTATTCTTCAAAATGATGTCGATACGAGTCCAGTTACATAATATATAATTATGTGCATCTCTCTTCCAAGCATTTGCCCTGAACTGGCTATGAAAGACATTGATGGCAAGAGAAGCGCCTGCGTTCTGGGAGATTCGGTCGAGTTTGTTTTTTTGCTTTTACAAAGCAGCATCCACAGAATGCAAAGAAATTCGCAAATTCAATTTAACGATGCATGGTTAAAAGTACAATAGTTGGGTCGACGTCAGAGAAATAAAGTAAGGTAAACTCTGTGATGTGATTAACAATCAAAACGTTTTGTAAATAAAACACTGACTTTCCTCTTCTAAAAGTCTATTTTTAGCACATAGAAAATCGGCGGTGCTTAGGTAAACATCACAGACAGCTTACCACACTGTACTATTCCATCAATTATAAATGTATTTGTATATAAATGTGTATAAAACAAGCAACACCATCTTGACTGCAATATTGCAGTCACTTACGGCATTCTTCAACATCACAGAAACATGCGATTTATATTTCTGTGCCAATCTTTCATTTCCAGAGAACTAGATGTACGTGCATTTCGTGCCATGCACCTCTCAACCCTAACTCCCAAGTCAGTTTGCTATGAAACTCCCGAATCCTACAAAATCCACCAATGTACACGAACCCAATGAGGTAATCTTTTACTTCCCACTGACATCAAGTCGTACATACAGCAACAGTGACTTGGTTGTGTACCTTCCCTTAAATTCTCCAAACCTCCAGTTGGATTGGAAGCATACAGATCGGAAAAGGGATTTAACCTTTTCTGCGGTGGATCTTTCACATCAGATCGGCAAACCCTATTCAACTGACACACGTCAGCGACTACGGTACTCTTCCCATCAACATTTGTTAGGTAAGTGGAAAGAAAAACAGTTCATGGAAAAGGAGTGGGATGCGTGTATACACTTGTACATCATCGAATCTGACCTCGTTCGGGCTAGATTCCTTCGACCACAATAAAGAAACAGACCACTATTCCAAACAGACTTTCCAGTGGCATGGAGTTGTTTCTTTTACTAGAAAAAAAGAAGTGTGTCCACCTTTTTTCTTTTCAATAGTTCCAACTATTTTCAATAATTCTTTCTATAATTCCGGCTTTATTACCAAGTGACTTTGAGATCTGTGGGCTTTACTCACGAGATGGTCATTTTAGACCGTGATCCCAGAATCCATTTTATTTATGGAACACTCTATACTGGGTCCTTGAAGGAGCCTGACAATTTTTCTTTGGCCTCACTTTGAATTTTGTTTTCATTTGGACAATAAAGGCAACAAAACTTTTATCCGTAACTCGGAACGATCCATCGGAGCATTGCTTCCCTTTACTACACCATCTCAGTTCAGATATTAAGTTTTACGAGAATTCTTACAGGGATCACCTTGCTTTTGATTCCAGATGACCGCCTTCAATTGTTGACAACTGTGTCGATCTTTTCACAACAAATTCTGCGCAACATCATCAATGAAGTTACCAAAGGGCTGGACGACAACACATGCCCTACACTTCTAGAATTGTCGTCCAACTGCACTGGACTACAATGACTCTGGTACTCATGGACTGGACTCTGTTCAGGTTTACGTGTGCTTGTGTATTACTGGTATTTGCAAATCAATGCTTCAACAGTAATCAATCCTTCCCGATAAAAAATCTGAAGCTGCTTTTACGCGATGTGCTCGATACAACCAGTGTTGCTGATTAGCCAGCCCAAGATGGAAAGGGTGCTGCATCTGCTGGAACAAAACAAGTTAAGCAGAACTTACTGGTTCACTTTTACGTACAAACTGTGACAACACGAACAGACTATTTTTTTTTATTCCTTACCTACTCACTTTTATGAAAATGGAGAATGATCAATTTTTGTTGCTAAGCATTACATGTTTGTTTACATCACATTTACGAGTTTGTATTTTAATTTCAATTACATACGTTATTTCCAAATGAAAAAAAAAAAGATCTGAATTTCTGAACATTTTCTCCCTTCAGATCTGCGCCCACAAAACTGAGGGACCAGATATCATGCATCAACAAAAGGTAGACATATCATTCTCTTTTGACTATTCAGAAATAACGTTTTGCTCTTGTCCGTTGAATATCACGGGTCTTGGAGAACTCTTTCATAATTCACACTCGTCCTCAGTTACATACTGCAAATTTGCCCTGGATTAAACAGGTCGTCAATTCAAACAAACGCATCAACAATGAGACAGTTGAGTTTCTCTGCTTTATACATATATAAGACTAAATAATTGTGCCAGAAAAGGGTCATCAACTGACACTCGATATGCTGCTGACTGAACGATTATACTGTGGTTTGTTGTCTAGAAAAAATATGGAGTGCAGCTCAATGTACTGAAAGGACTGGTACAAGTCTATAAATGCTGAATGATTACCAAGAGAGGGCGCTGCAGAATAAGTTCCATGCTACTTTAGGCAATAATTACATTTTCTTTCCACTTTGATGATTGACATAAGATTTCGTTTGAAAAATAAAGCCCTCTTTGCAGGATTTTGAATGAATTCGAAACAACACTGAGCTACGACCAAACAACGTACACTCTCGTTCATGGCAAAAGTAAATGAATGCAAGAAATGTACAAAACCTTCCTTCACCGCGTATCAAATATTATTTCTATGAAATTGAAACCTTCCACAAGGCTTGGAATTGATACAAAGAACATGTAAAAGCTAAGCAAAATGTTAAACATATAATTCTTACATGGCATAAAATCCAACAGGATGGCAACAAGGTCTTTCAGTATACCATGTGTGCCCCGCAAAATAATCTTTTTTTATATCAATTTACATTTAATTGCTGTCATAGGGTAAGTAACTGAGAGAAAGACTGCGAAGTATCCCATAACCACTTCAGTCATTGCCAGTTTTTTTGTAGTTGTAACAAAATATACAGTCTGTGTTGCTATCAGCATTCACATGTAATCAATTTCACCTTTTCACGACTTTCTGTAAAAGAATTCAAGACTGACTTAGAATATCCAGTCACAAGTCTGCAGTTGCTTAAGTACATTTCACGGAGTCGGTAGTAGCACCCGCCCCCTACATGAGCTCTAAGAAAAACTTATTTCTGTTATTGGACTTTCTTTTCTGTACGCACCATTCATCTCTGGACTTATCATATACAAAACCTATTGATCTGGATAATAAAAGGAAACGTTGTGTCGATCGAAAATGTAATGTTTACCAGACCCATTTGACAAGTCAAAAGACTGTCTGGACTGAAGAATTAAAAAGGGTACCTTTCACTACTTTGGTAGACTGAAATTGTACATCAGAGGAAAAAACCCAGAATCTGTACATGATTATGTCTACAGCCATTCGCATATGACAGCAAGTAAATGGTACCTTGAGATTTCCAAGTATACCTAACTTCACCTCGTTAGTATGTATACATACAAGGTGGAGGATTATGTACAACGAAATACCTACGATAAACTTGGTCAAGCCCATGTTGACCCTTAAACCATGACCTTTCTACTTGACCCCTTCTGCGGTGCTAGCGGCTGCCCCCTGACTTGGAATGTTGTATCAACCATTGCAGTGTGATGTCTGGAAAATAATGAAATGAGTGTGAGTTGACAATAGCATTGATATTATGCAAAATGTTAGACCGAGTTATGACAATGTGAAGCAATTTCTGATTGGATTTGCATTTAGGGCCCGTTCCCTACAGGTAGTCATTGAATAGTTGAACTAAACTTTTGTCTTTTATGGTGAAGTAAAAGCCCCATCCTACCATAATTCAGTTGACCAAACACAAACAAACCCCACCCTTCTTTGATCTCCTTGCAAGTTGAAGACAGGTTCAAGGTAAAAGCGGGGCTAGCCTAAGCAGGTGTTTATACTTGGACCAATGATTTTATTAACCCTACCCCTTGGCCATTTTTGCTAGGGACCCTCCTCAATCCTCCAAAATCTTCCACTTTGGGAGGTGAAAAATTGGATTCTCCCTCCATCCTCTGAAATTCTCCCAAATTTCCTGGAAATGTTACTTGGAGGTGTGCCTGCTACCTCAATCCTTCAAACTCCTCTGGCATTTCCTGTCATTATGTTGACACAGTGCAAATGGCATTCTTGAGCAGTGCGGTCAACTTAAAAGAAATATTGGGCTGAATTTATGCATAACTAGGCAAAAACAATACAAGGTCTAACCCACAACCTCCATGCATTCGCAGTAAGCCACGCACTTTTGCCATTCACTCTCAATCCTCCAAAATCCTTCAAAACTGCCCATAGGATTTTGGAGGACTGAAAAGGATTGAGGTTCGGCCTTCACACAGACATATATTCATAACAGTGTATGAATATAAGTGAACTTGCAAAAAAGCATTAACAAGCTTGCTCAGGTGAGACTCGAGCCCTGTGACGTCCTGCTTACTAGTGCAGGCGTCTTAACCACTTGACTACGGTGCTTGCCAGGGTCAGGTGGCCGGTCCGAGTCTGGCATAGCAGTGGGGCACTGCAAACTATTTTAAGATGTACTTTGCATCGGGGAGATGTTAAATTGAAACAATGAGTATACGGTGTTGTGAACATACATGTACACGAATGTCGGTGTGAGGACAAGTTGACATCTTCCTGACACAGAGTACATCTTGACTTTGGCCCAATGAGTTCTACCCTCAGCAAAAAATGAACAAGGGTATGGACCTAATAAGCTCTTCCTGGGTCGAGTGAGAACTTTCCTGAGCCCTGCCCTCGACAAATGAGCAATACACTGGTTCTGGGTGCTATCCTTGGTTCCATGAGCACACTTCTGGTCCCAGTGAGTGACATACCCCCAAAATCTCAATGTGTCTCCTAGAAGACATGTATGCTAGAAGCAAGGTTGTAGCTTGAACATTTTTAGTGCCAGATGTTTTGGGGTCTGGATGGCTGAGTCCTCACAGTATCAGTTGTAAAGACAAGCAACACATTTGCAACGGCCACCTGACTATATATACTTGTCTGTACATTTGTAGCCGTTTTCAATATAACAGGAATATGTGACAATATATTTCAGTACTGTCCACGTCTTTCTTCTCTCATAAAATTTGGAAACTTCTGTAAAGTGAAGTGAAATTTGTGCTGGTAGTAAGTTTCCTTTTTAACCCCAAATGCTGACTGGTGATTTGGAATACCCAGTAGTATGGAATTCCATATCTGCCGTCTGTCATGCATCGCACGTCGTCTGCCGTGCGTCGCATGTCGTCCGTCGAGTGTTGTCTGTTGATTTTTTTTGTCACGCTTGCGCGGTGCTATTTTCACTTTGACCCTTGATCTTTTCACATACTTATTCGATCGATCCACCATGCCTGTCTGTCCTTCCACGATATCCCAGCAGATCATGACCCCAGAAATACAAGAGTAACTTTGAACTGAATGTATACCGATATAATAAATTACATACAATGTTTGATTCCTCAATATCTTGTATAAGAGAAGAACTAATTCAACATTATTTTGAGGGCGGGTATACCTACGATGAAATCTGCTGTATACTCCAAATTAGACATGACTTGAGTTGCAGGTAAGCTCACAGAAGTCTTTTAAACCGTAATATTACTTTGTTAGCCCCACATGCTGGACCACCTGTGCTCATTGGCCTATCCACCATGGCATACACACCCACAAAAACCAATATTTTCTGAAAACTAAAACCAAGTGATAGTTGCCCCCAACATTCAATAAACAGTTACTTGTCCACAGCACAATTGACAAAAACAATTTGCTATCTAGTATTTGTGGATTTCAAGGTGAAATTGGGAGCAAAATTGGAATGTCTGTATTGGCTGGCACATTTTTACAGCAGGCAAGAATAGAATGAATGCACTGTGGATAAATTTACCTAGACAGTTTTGCGGAAAAAGATTTTTCCCTAAAAAACACTTGGTTGAATTCTTAGAAAGGTGACGCGTGACGAACAACGGGCAACACGCGACGGACGACGGAAAAGGGCAGAATCGGGACACAACAAAAAGCAAGAGGTGACGGACGACGGCAGCTTTGGAATTCCATACAAGAGCGCCAGCCATGCTGGCTGGCATAACGACAACCCTGGCTAACGGATACACAACAAGAGGCATTGATTATTACTCACCTATGTTTTCTTTCTCTTTACATGAGATGGAATAGCAGCAGATCTCTCTGTCTTGAATGGCGGAGAGATTCATCTTCTCGATCAACTGTTTCTCATCCAGGGCGTTCGGCAAGTCTCGTTTGTTGCCAAGCACTAATACCTGGGAATTCGGGAGAAAGAAGAAAAACCTTAAAAAACAATCTCAGATTGTGAAAGTGGCCTCAGTAGTTTACTGGCAAGACGCTTGATGTGTACAGAGCCTGTGATCCCACAAGATGAAATATCTGGGATCCTGTTGTACAAGGGAGCGCAGGCATGTGCATGAGGCTAAGCCAACTCATTTAATTGAAAATCTGAATATCTGATCTTGAAAATAAACCTCCAGGTATTCTATAATCAATCAAATATAAATAGCCCCAATCCAGGAAATATGTATACATTTGTATTTTCAATTGAGTGTTACAGAAGACTTGAATATTGAAGGGTAGTACGTCAGGGGTTCGAATCCAGCTGCTGGCCATAAGCTGTGGCCTTGGGCAAGCCACTGCACCCCTGCTTACCTTGCTTCACCCAGGATTGTAAATGGGTACCGGCGTTAGCTAGGGAGCCACTAGGGGAAACACATATTCTCAGGCATTTCAAGCCTAGGAAACCAGGGATGAACGCTGTGCTGATGAACCTAATGACGTGGTATAGAATTGCCTTTTCCTAATACACTCTGAAGAAAACTTTTGTACAAAACGAATCAGTTTTCACCCGATGTAATTTAATTTCTTGCAGTGGTTTGTCACTAAGATCTGTTTTGCATAAACTTACTGGAATTCCTTGCAGCTGTGGCTTGTCCAAGAGGTTATGAAGCTCATTTGTGGAAGCCTCCAGCTTGTCGTGATCGGCTGCATCTACCATGTACCTGTACAAGAAAATCCAAATTCAATGTGTCAGTGATGGATTTTGAATTCAACTCTATCCAAAATTTTAGTTGAAGGCTGATACCAACAGCGAGTTGAGCACACACAGAGCCTGTATGAGGATTTTGCAGGACTGATCGTAACACTCTGATGCACGAAGCCTTGGGAGTAATGGTTAAGAAAGTCACTGATTTTCTCTTAGGCTGGACCCGACACAAATGAAACAACAGACCTCATTCACAAGGAAGCCATTCTAGATCATGTTCCCTGAATCAATCTTATTCATTGTAATTTGTCAAAAGGGATGGTGCCAGACTATTTCGGGTTCCATAACTCACTTTTTTTTTAAACGTTATTTATACATTTATATATAATGAATCAGAAATCCTAAATCATTCATCACCATAAATGAAATTAATCTATAATGAACTTTCTTTGATTGCTTTGTTCTTATTCCTAGGTCCTGCCAAAGTTAACGTTGCTTTCAATTGAACATGGTCGACTTCTGACTGAGGTCAATTAGTCCAACTTTACAGAAGAAATCTCCTTGAACAGGCAACTTACACAATACAGTTGACACCTCTACAGTATCTTTCCCACATGCTCCTGAATCTGGGCTGGCCGCCAATGTCCCAGAGCTGATATAAGAAGCAAAGACAATTATCGCGAAAACTTAGTATAGAAAAACAGCAATCTTTTTATGTAAAACCAGGTACATGTTTTACTTAATTACATGAAGTACTGTAGATTTCTTCCCTGAACAACTTATTCTCAAACTGAGACCCACTTCAATTTAATCTTTATTCCAAAATATGAGCAGAAATGGGGATAAACTACAGCAATGTCAATAACACAAATCCAAATAATTTCCAATGTGGTTGTCTAAATTCAACTAAAAAAGAAATGATCAGATTCTTTGTTTCTATCCCCCGTTTCCAAACTCAAAGTCGGTGTCATTGCATTTGTAACTACTTGCAAACATCATTACTCCAAAATGGACCTAAGCCAGGTGTAGTATTACTTTTGGCCAAAAATACAGTGTACTGACTAAACTGAAAGTCACAACTAGTACCTTAACAGTTAAAAAGTTGAACTTTTATAAATATTGATCTATGAAACACAATATTTTGATTTGATAAAGTTGATAGCTCATTCTGTTTCAATAAGAACTGGACTGGAATGACAGGTGGTTCCTTCCCCCACAGGTGCTTTCACTGTACCATTATCCAAAAATAAGATGGAACCACCGAAATATGTGTACCTTGATTGTTACGTTTCCCTTGGTGAGCTTCCTCATGTTGAAACCAACGGTGGGGATCATATCTTCATTGAACTGGCCAGACTACAGTGAAAGAAATGCAACAACGTCAACAGGAGGACTCTGTTGAAGCTTAGCACAAGAACAGCAGACATGGAATGTACTGCATCGTCGTGAAATTATCTTCATTATTTTCTGCCGTTGAACCAACTCCGACAGGTTCACATTTGGTAAAAAAAATCATTTCGCACAGGCCTGGTCACATTTGCCAGGTCGCACAGAAAATACACCCTCTCTGCGTGATGCTTAACCTAACCACACACACTCCAAAAAAATTATTTCTTTTTGATTGATATAATGTGAGGATTAATTTTTAAACTGATCATATTTTTTGTCCTGAATTAATTTGCTACGAAAATATAAGACTTTAGGACACTAAATTACAGGACAATAAACTCCTGTCAGGAAAGAGTTCCATGTACATGTATAGATGCCGCTTAACACCTCGTGCACAAAACCTATGAGACTGGTCTAAGTAAGTGTTTTGTAAGTAAATGACCTGATATTTTCCCTCCTAAATTGAGCTTTTCTGGACATGTTTTTGCTTACTAACGGCTTACAGGTGACTGCAGCGAATAATTACTGGTGTCTGTAGATGGAACTCTTCTCAGGATCTGTTACCAGGATCATTAACATTTTGCATCCTTGCAAAATTTCCCCAAGGCTATCAATTTGCTACCTTTGCCCAAATTGACAGTAGCACGCAAAGACAAACACAAATGGGCAAGTGAGCATGGGGGAATTTCAACAAAAACACTGCACAAGGTTTAACATGTGTTAAACCACGTAAAATGTACACATTGTTCAAGAATTCCAACTTCTAGTTCTATATCATCAATCAAGTAACTTTGTAACTAGTGTAAGGTATCAGATCACCAAGCAAGCCAAAATAATGAACATGCACACTGTGCCAGGCCTCTCATGCCTATTCTCTGCTTCTGTTTCATACAGTCATGACAGTGCAAACACCTCGGACTCGACTGTTCACAGCCAGTGACAGCAAACAGGTAGGCAAGACACGCAACTTGTTTTGCCTTTTAATTTTATACCACCAATCTAATTTACAAATAGCTTGACATTCAAGGGCAAGAGCTTACCGATATTACATTGACAAATGTCGTCTTTCCCGAGTACTGAAGCCCAACTAACGTCAACTCCATTTCTTCTTTCCAAAACAAGCTTTTCAGCCAGTCCAAGAACCTGGTCAATGCCGCGAGCATGTTTCTGATCTTGCTGCTATTTTCGCACGGACATAAATTCAGCTGGAGGCAACAGGCGGGCCAGACCCGTCAATTTCTGGGGGGAAATGGAAAATGCTTTTTTTTCGTGGTAGACCTGCTGACCAGATTAAGCTGATTTGAGCAATTATTTCAACAGGGAGTTACAGTTTCCGTGCGTAGCATGCATCGGGCCCAATGCACAGCACATTACAAGCACGTACGAAGCATTGTACATGAACGTACGGAAAACAACCTTCCTAATTTCTGGTCATTGACCTTTACCCTTTCCTCGTGACCATACGTCATGGTTCATCGGGGGATACACGGTCCTATTTAACTCGGGATCTGCAGCTCACATGGGATTGGAGCTAAGATGGATTTGCCATTTCAATGTAATGTTGATCTTATTTGATGTAAGGTATAATTTTTCCCCGTGGCTTTATCTATTTTGGCAAGGTGTAAAAAGCGAATGATGATGTCAGATTCATGTTTCCTCTCTCCATGTTACAATTGTGTGTAGTTATCGGTTGTTTTCGCCAAGCAGTTGTTTCAGAAGTTGTTTATAAGTTTCAGAATTTAATTCGTAAAATTTGAAGCCACGCGAGTAACATAAGTTTGAACAATGTTCTGCACTTTTTTGATAGACTTTTCCAAGTAAATCCAATTATATCCTTGGAAAAACTCAAAGTCACAGCAAATTCTGACGAGTTCCCCATGGGCTGCCTCTGAATTTGGTATTTCGTGCCTACGGCTTACTTTTTCCCGATTCATGCGCCACAAAAAATAGCTACAGCCGTTGACAATTTTGCCTACTTGGGACACTGGCTTGTCATAAGTCAACGTTCAGGAGACTGAAGAGTCTCGAATAGTTGAGGGCGGTATTGCAACTTGATCGTGTGGCGTGCAGCGCGCGTAGGGCCGGGGGGCGGCGTGTTTTGTATATCACCCATTGTCTGAGGATACTTTGTCCTATGGCAAAATATGGTTTTATCGCATAACTTAAGATGAGATTAGTCCTCACGCCTTGTGGAAGCTTGTCGAAATGTCGGACTTTAAAAACCTTCAAAAATCCTCCAGACCCACGCGTCGAGTTCGGGCGGCCTGTTCTTGACACGGGTTTCTTGTTCTCACGCTCGAACGGCGGGGAACACGACTCAAGAACTCTGTTCTCGGAAAAGGATCGCACACCACCTTCTCGTCAGGGTACAACAGGAACACACGGAAAAACTCGTGAGATTTTAATTTTTGAACAGCTGCAAAAAGTAGAGAGATGGCTTCCAGAGCCATTGACAATGGGAAGTTTTGCAAAATTAGCATTAATTATTTTCTGTAACACAGAAATGAATGTTCCTGTTTATGTAGAAAAGAATTCAGCCCATCCAAACATTAACTCTCGAATAACGTAGCCTAGGCTACCTGGACGCCGCCATGTTGCATGTCACTAACCACCAGCGATAACCGGTTGTTTGTTCCCGGCGTTCGAGCGGCCGACCCACGAACAACAAATCGAGCTGTTAGTGAACATACGGGAACAAGCCGCCCGAACTCGGCCACGATTTCAGGCTTTATTCAAATATGTTATTCCAGTGTTTGATAACCAAAGTTTTGCGTACCGCAGCCTGGCGCGTGCGGCACGCCCCTAGAAAACAACGCTTAGAAACAGTTAGAAATAGCGCCGCCTAGTTCAGAAAGATCGTGTTCTTCAGTATTTCACTGGATATTCAAGATTATGACCGTCAGGGCAATTCTCTTCAATTTCACAACGGTTGGCCATGATTTTTTTTCATCCCGCCCTTCCCCAAACTACTTCTGAGGTCTCAGCTGGGGCATAGGGTTTAGTATAGCCCCCTGCCTCTATCTAAAATAAGCTCACAAGTTTGAGGTTTTTGCGAACAAAAGATACCAAGTGAGAAGCCACAAGTGTTCTATATTGGGTCCTGATTTTGGTTCCTCTTTTTAAATAACCTGCGGGGTCACAAAATATCAATAAGCTCGCCTGCAGACATCCATTTCCTCATGTGAAGTGTGAGTCCCTATTCCGCCTCTTGCAGAAGCACCCCCTCATCGGTTGAACCGCATTGGTCGTTCACTCGCCACCGGTCCAGGCCGGCCCCAGGTGCTCGGGCGACGAGCAAACGTTGGTGTTCATTTTGTCGGTAGCAATGAGACCGTGATGCGTGCATTCCTAGTTGTGCTTGAACGGGCAAAATTCAGATCCGACCATCGATCACCATTGGACAGGTTCCGACCGAAGGAGTCTCTGTTGCTTAGAAAACAACGCCCTCACTTGGTCCAGCTCAAGTACGATTACCAAGTAGACATGAAAAGTATAAGCGCATATTCCCTGCACCTTTTCTTGTTAATCCCCCATACCAAAGCACGGACAACTTTAATTTCAGCTTTGGCCTTTATCTGAGGTAATTAAATCCGTAATTAAATTAACATCTCCCCGACGCAAAGTACATCTTGATTTAGGAAAAGGTATTCATATGTTGGGTGTGGGTATGACTAAGAGCGAATGCAACAGTCTAGGAACCTGTACGTACCTGCACTATTTTCCAAAATACTTTGCGACCCTGCAGCGCATTCAAATTCAGCCAGTCCCAAAAGTTTCAGCCGTTATAAGCTGATATAAACACCCGTTAAATTTGCTTTCACAGTGACTGGTGTGGAAAAATCCACAAGTCACACTTTGCGTTTGTACAAAGCCTACATACGGAAAAAGCATGAAAGGGCGACCTCTTTCATAAGCCGCGTAGCATTTATAAATGGCACCCTCTTTTGTTTGAATTGCGCCATCCTATAAACCTAGGGCAAAAATAATACGGTCGAGTTCGGGCGGCCTGTGTATTTTTTATTTACACGGTAGCCTAGCGTTTTTCGCTTTGGTAGTGCTAATTCGCGCTTGAAAAGAGACTGATGCTGACTGAACCCGTCAAAGCGAGCGCGCAAAAACACGAAACGATGGTGCTTGTACTACAACAAATAAATATTTTTTACTTTTTAGTTCTGAAAGTTGACAGTTCAGAGGTGATAGACCGAAGGATTGTGACAGTATTGGGGATGATTCCTCTTCCTCTGATGATGGTCAAGTTGTTTCTTTGGTGTGTGTGAAAAGGTAGAATTTTAATCACCACCGTGATCGCTGGCTTGATGAGCTAGGATAGCCAAGCTCACGCAATGTTTTTTTAGCATTATTATGGGGGGGGGGGTAAAATACAAATGCAATGTGGCAAACATTATGAACGATTTAGGTGAGTCATTAATGAGGGTTGTTTTCAAGCAGATTGAGATTTCCACCCTTTTCGTCACTCTTATTTCATTTTTTGTATCTTTTCCATTATAAAAAAATCAGAATTTCCAAATATTTTACTTGAAACATGTTCAGGTTGGTCTTGAAGCCTTGATTGCAACCTCTTCTGCGTCAATTCCTCTAGGCTTGTTCAGCTTACAGAGTCGAACAAGCAGGCAGGTTATGGCTTTACAGCAAAGTGTGTCAATAATGCTTCATATAGCCTACCTACGGTAAAAGACTCCCAATATCCAAAATTATTACTGCTGGCTGTGCACTTAATAGCACAGCAAAGAATGGTATCAAAAATTCCAATCCTTGGTGCGCCACCGCCTGTATGCATTTGAAGCATGGAAGAAGAAAAACCGTCGAAAGATTCGGTACAAATTTGACTCATTATTTCGGTTGAAGTTACGTTTGCTTTGTTCACGTTGTGCACCTGCGTAGGCCTACCCTGATTCCTAGTGGCGTTCTCACGTAACATTTAGCAGCATCTAGAGCTATGCAATAACGAAACGTCTTCCAGTTTTTAGTGACATGCATTGAACGATTACATACTATGTCATGTTTCCGCCCCACGTTCAATCCCATGCGCTGACGTACGTACTCAGCATTAGTTTCTTTTCATGCGCGAATTGGCACCGCCACAGAAAACCCTAGGCTACGGTGTAAATAAAAATACGCGGGCGGCCTGTTCAATCTTGGCACGGTGTGGCGGTCTCAGCTGTCTCCCGGTCTCAGCGGTCACCTTTACCAAATATAGTAAAATACGTCATGCCATCTCTGCGCACAACAACGGTTAAGTCGTCCGTTTCATGTCCGGCTATTCTGAACTGTTGCAAACATGGCAAAAAGCAGAGCAATGGCTTTCAAAGCCAGATCTAGAAAGAATAGTAAATTTTACAAAAGTAACATTAATCATTTTTTTGTAAACAGCAAAGAATTCAGCCCAGTTATGCAAACATTAACTGGAATAACGCTCAGGGACGCCGCCATGTTGCATGTTAATTAACCGGTTGTACGTTCCCGGCGTTCGAGCGGCTGAACCGAGAAGAACAAATGGAACTGTTCGCCAATTCGTGAACATACGCACGAACTCAGCTGTAGTTTCAGCAATCACGAAGGCACATCCAACTCTCCAGGATAAGTGTTTGCCAGCTGTTAATACGTCGGCACGTGCAGACAAAAGGTGTAGCTTACGGTAGCCTGATTTTATTTTCGATGCGAAACGCCGAAAGGTGTGGTGCGACCATTAATTTGTTATAGCGCCCTCGCAAAGTCCGCATTTGTTTTAGGACGCTAACTGTTGATCTCTCATTTCTTTTTGGCGAAGAGTGAAATTGCTTTTGTTCGAGCTAACATTGGCTGATTAATCGATGAGCCATACATCGACTGGCTGTAATCCAATAAAAGTCCTATGCAACCCCTGCGCTTCGTTTTGGTCGAGTTCGGGCAACCTGTTCTTGACACGGTTTCTTGTTCTAAACGCTCAAACGGGGGGAACATGACCCAAGAACTTTGATCTCGGGAAACAATCACACCACCTCCTTGTCGGGATATTGCACGAATACACGGAAAATTAACGTTAATAATTTTCAATAACGCAGAAACAAATGCTCTCTTTGAACAGGAAAGAATGCAGTGAATAGTGTACATGCATGGACGCCGTAATTAATGTTTCAAGTTGCTTGTCACCCGGCGACTACCAGCGGCGTTCGAGTGGCCGACCGAAGAATAAATCAAGTTCTTCACCCGAACTCACCTTTCAGCCGGCAATTTAAAAACTTTTGATCACTTCCTAACTTTTAAAATGGAACGTCTAAGTGCACTTTTCCAGAAGATGAATCAGTGAGGGGTGTCAGTATCGATATTTTTTCACACATTCTGAAGGAATACACGGTTGAAATGATAATAATCTAAAAAAAAAAAAAAACTACAGGTAGCCTATAATTACGACCCTTCATGGCCAATCAAGCCTATTGTTTCTCGTGTGTACCAGCAGAGTAGTTGCTTACTTTACAAATAGGGCTAAGCACCTAGATCAAATTTTGATGTTTGCTAATGGTAGGTGTATACACCCGAAACAAAACCTACTCAACTATCCCCTAACCGCGAGCAAATAAATCCATTAAGTTGCTTTAGCGCCCTCAATAATTTATAACTATTTCCTCACATTATTACATGATTTTACGAACCCGTAATGTGCATGGCAAAAGTATGCGGATACGAAGAGGTTGAATTCCATATTGTGCTACGCAAACTACAGCGATCAATGCCCCCACAAGAACTGCATTAAACAAAAAGTACGCGCACGACACTCAGAACAGTGTACAGTTCATTTATCAACTGTAAAGTTAGAACAGGTCTGAAATCATTACTGTAAAACAAGATGTCATCGGGTAATCGGCAATCGATTAACTTCCTAGGTTTAATGTTATTCAATATTCTGTGTCGCTTATTGGATTTTTGCACGCACACCCACAGACGTGTGTCAATATCGGCGATCGATTTTTATGGATCCTCATCCGAAGAGGATATTTTCAAAAATTTGAATACACATGCTGGCACATTTTGTCGCCTACTTTCAGACCATGGCAGAGTAAGAACACAAGACTTCTTACGGCTACCAATTTTCAAGCCTATCAGGAAGAGCCGCCAACATATATAGGGCTGGATATCTCACTTGGTTGATTGATATTCTCCGGAGGCCGCAGGTTCAAATCCCGCTCCAGTTAATTTCTCTGTTCACCTTTGTAAGCATTCAAAAGCACCTAGTCAGTTTCTCCATTTTGTTTCATAATTTTCGAACCTGTGTGTTCTTTAAGAGCCTTCGTAGTGTTGCGTCGTTCAGCGTTGTAGCTTTTGAGGATTTTGACTAAGCGTTTTCTCGATCGTTCCCCATAACTATAATAATGCCCGACACTTCCTCGCAGCTGCACACTCACCATTGTTCTGGTTTCCTTTGAGCAAGCAAAACATTTCAAAGCAACAAAACCCATTTTTCCCTCAAAGCTAATTTTGCGGTGCACTTTTGTTTGCTGTATGCATCGGTGACGATCTTTGTACTATAGATATGGGGGCGGTGGACAAAACTGGGGAATTCCCTTTTTATTAACGGGGAAACGGTGCATAATAGCAATTGTCTGTGCATTGGGGTTTCTTCTGTTCCCTACAAAACACTGATTGTGGGAAAAATACGACTATAATAGAAAATCACCTTGCCAGAACGCTGAATTTAGTTTCATAATCAGTGCCCGTGCTCGGGCCTATGATTGCGAACTTGAACGCGGAAGTCCTTTGCAAAAATCACTGAAGCGGTTGCTAATGTCGATATCGATTGCATGATTATGGAAACCTGTGCCAACCAGTACCGATGATAGATTAATCAACAGGCTCGGGCCACGTTATTTTGCAAAACGCCAACTTTATTGAACAATGGCGGATGAGCCAAAACAGTATTGTTTTCAAGTGGACTCGACGGACTATAGTCAACGCCAAACGTTCAGCGGGAAGGGCAAATACCACCCTCACAGCCGGGTGAGTTGCCCCACCCCAATGCTATGGCTCCCCCAATAAAAGCACCGCTACTCACTGCTTAGCCCCACTAGTGTGGCACGGATCACTCCCGATTTATCCTAAGGATGGATCGGGAGTGAGAGTCCGTACCACACTAGTGGGGCTACTCACTGCTCAGAGTTATCTTTCCTAGTGGTCATAGTTTTCAGAGACATTTTGTAAACTATATCCACCCACAGCTATGATTATCATGATGGAACATTATAACTTCAGGCTGTACTTTATAAATTTCATGCTTTTATCGTCAAAGGCACAATTTTCTCATATATGTCACCGTATCTGTCCATGGTCATACTTTATGTTCAATACATCTAGCATAGTAGAGCGGAATGTATTATGCGGGTCACGATCACGGTGGCGCCGCCGGGCCCCCCATCAGAGAAAATCCAGTAAAATTGCAAAAAGGTGGAAAAATTATACTTATGGTCCACGCAATTTATTGTCTAATAGAATGCATGCAGTACATGCAGTTGTTTTTAGATTTTCCCTACGCCGGGGCATGTCTCGATCATGACCCCCGCCGGTAACCATAAGACCCCTTAATCAGTTGTGCGAAAGCAACATGACAGTTTGAGAACATGCATCCTAGTCCCCCGCTCTGCAGTCCCACCCCATTTCTTTCAACCATGCTTCAACCAGCCCTTTGACACTAGGCGATGATGTTTAATCATAAACCCGCCCTGACCCCTTTAAATCAATTAAAGTGGCTTGCAAAATCAGGAGTAATTATGAACCAGTTGAAGTTGAATATAGTCAAATGAGTTTAATGGAGTGGTTTAGTTTCAGTTTTCAGCAGCCTGATGGCCAGTTTCATTATGGCATTATGCACGGTTTCTAAACTGCACCTGGTTACGATAGGAACCTTTAGTTTCCTCAAGTTGAAAGTCTGCTTTGCCAAATTCTTTTTCGAGTTTTACCGATGGTGCTGATGCATATGCTTCTTCACAGAAATGGGGACAGGCTTGGAAAACACCATTATAGGTATCATACGGGGAGATACAAACTTCTCCCAAGGTTAACAACTTTTAGAGCTGATATCTCACAAAGGGATATGAAAATACATCATTTGTGCTCACATGTCTTTTGCAGATAGCGTTCTAAAAAGACAGGACCCCAGCAAAGATCGCGCTGCAGGATTTTCGACTGCGCAGGGCCGGAATAAATGTATCGGATACACTGTACCATTATTTAAATGGCTAGAAGATCCTATACGAAACAACAGATCTGGGTCTTTTTGGAAGATTGTTTTCAGCCAAAACTCCAGGCGTTCAGCGTTCAGCCTGTGGTTCAGCAAACTGCATCTCGCCTCTTGTCATAAACCCGCCAGTAAAATCGGTTCCCCAAAATAGACCCGTCCAAAAGTTACTTCCTGGTTCAAGATACAATGAAATGGTGTTCAGTGTACGTGTTGTGCGGTCTGAAGTTGTATAGCTCCAGCATAAAAAATTAAAAACGAACTCATTCCGTGCATTCGAAGCCAATAATTACCAGAGCCTGATAAGGAGAAGGCATACGTTGTTCCCTACAACTTCACGGTTTGGATGGTGAGTTGCTTCTCGTAGATTTAACTGTACACGCGTTGTCACATGTTCCTTGTGTCCTTGCAGTTACGCCTATTTTGTGCTCGACTGATGAGTGTTCATGAGAAAAAGGCCGCCATCACGGTGTGCAAGTGTGAAGTGATGTACATATTATTCAGCTGTATGATGCACCCACCTATGTACGGTCTGACCAACTATGTCTTAACATTCGTGCTATTTGCAGCCCAGAGCTTACAGTACTCGTAGCAAAAGCAAAACTACCTTTTAATTCTGGTAACATTAACTTGCTGCATGGAGGTAGGAAAAGACTACCTCCATGTTTGCTGTAGGCCCCTGTTGAATTGGAGTAACTTGGACTCTACGAATCGCTGCATGCTTTGAACATTAATTTTTGACATGTCAAGTTACTTAGACGCTAATTGAGAATACACAAGTGTTACTGTCATATCCACTCAAAATTTAGAATGAATATTTTATAATATATTCAAATATTAAACCTTCCAATTGATTACATATTCCAATGTTTGGTTCTACAAAAGTACAACAAAATAGCCCAGATGCTCCTTGGGCCCAGGCCAAACATTTGCTGGTAGTTTAGACCATAACAAAATAAATTGTACACTCATGATTCAATCCTGTAGAATTTCTAAGGGAAAGAAACTTCACGGTCAATCCATTCATCAACCTGGAGGAAAAACAAAACATTGGACTGCTAACTCCAGGGGATGCGCTTGATCTTACGTCAACCGGAAGTGCCGAGTTACTAACTCCAGGGGGTGCGCTTGATCTTACGTCAACCGGAAGTGCCGAGTTACTGGCACGGATAACTTATGTTTTGCTGTCGTCCATATTTTGAATTATGCTGTGCGCACAATGTGTAAATAAAAACTACTCAAAATGGTTTAAATTTCCAGGTACATGTAATACTGTGCAGTTGTTGGAAGCAGTGCCTGAAGTCCCAAATAGGGGTTGGGTTTTATGGGATATGGTATTTTGAAAACCTGAGGGACTCCCTGAGGGACTCATAGCAGCCCGAGGCAAAGCTGAGTGTGCTACATGTACATGAATGTACACCCCAGGATATGTTTAAAATGTCACATCCCACATCACAGCAGTCAACAATTGTTTTGTCACATCTGTGTGCTTTTCACTTGTTTTTGGTGGGAAATAAATGGTGACAAATGAACATCAGCAATTAGCAGCCCCTGCATTATCCTGTACACTGCAGGGACGTACGTGCAATGCTTGTGCACGTTTACTGTATAGTACGTGTACATGTAGTATCCTACAACGTTTGCAGACTATGCGATGTCTAAAGGTTCGTGTAACATGCAGTTAAATGTATGTTGCCCTGTCACGTTACTGTTCTGGGCCTGTGAAAAATAGTATGTATTAGAGACACAGGTATAACTTTTTTCCTTCATGTTCACTGCATACTTGTAGAACATACATGTAATGAAAATTTTGAAACAAGAATGAAATAACTTTCCAGTGATGTACTCTAAATGCAAGGACAGTTTTCTGTCAGTAGCATAATTAGATATACATGTATGTTAAAAAGCTGCAGTATAATTGCACATGCATTTTGGTTTTACAGTGAGCAGAACGAAACGCTTTTTGACTAAATGTGTGTTTAGATTATTGGCGTATTGGCTTTGTTGATAAATTCTGATGGAACACCGGTGCAAATAGCTTTAAAAACGCCATACAACATTTTAAATTCTCAGTAGGTTTCTGCACAAAGATGGATGTGCCCAGCAGGCTCAGCAAGTTATCGCTCTGTATAGCTACAAGTATCCTAGTTGTTTCCACTGCGTGACAGTTGTTTGGCAGAAACATTGTGCAAGGGGAGGGGACCCAGTATCATCATAGTCACTCCTATAATAACATACTGGTAAATCACAGAGCACTGTCAGTGTTTTGAGTAATTTATGCTGTATCATAGACATTGTGCAGGATATTGAAAAAGGAAACTGAAAAGCAAAACATGTACACAATCACAAGCACCTAATGAACGAATGTAATCTTTGTGTTGGGTGGTACAAAGTACATGTACATTTATCAATGGTCCAGTGTCATCCTTTGTGTACCAGTCTGTTGTGCTTATAGAACAAATCTGTCTTCATCTTCTACCGTCTTCTACATTCTTGTTAGTCATGGATTTGAAGTGGTACCTGGTACACGTGAGGCTGGAAGGTATAACTTTTAAGCTTGACTTCCCCAGACTACATGTACATTAACTCTGTGGTACGTTTACTAGAACATTAACTTCAACATACGTGTACAGACTCTGCAGGAAGAATAGTGGGTTAAGGGACCCACCATCCAAACTGCATGTAATGACATCATATTCATCATAAATTTACACTTTTTTACAGGATCTGACTGCCTGTGAATAAGGATCTACATGAGGGAGAAGTGCATTCTTGTCTCATCAACAATCCACAAATTATTCGTGGAGTAAGTAAGCATCATGGAACCCCTTTTGAGACACAGTACTTTATTTTTGATAAATGTAGTTGGCATCATCTGTGTGAATGTTTTTATGGTATCAGCCAACATGCAGCAAAGACATCTGTCAGCCTATGAGCTAACCAGCTTCAATAATCCTGATCAAGAAGATGTACCTCGAGCCCAAACGTTCAACCATTTCACCTTGAGTGATCATGGTGATGTCTATGTTGGAGCTGTCAATTGGTTGTACAGGTTGAATAGTAGGTTGGAACAGATACAGAATGCTTCAACGTGTGATGACAGTATGCCTTACAATGGGATGCCGTGTCGTCGTACAAATAACTACAACAAGATACTGGTGGTTGACAGTACTCGGCCAAATGGGTTGATAACCTGTGGTGGTGTGTTTGATGGTATATGTCAGTTGAGGCAGTTACAGGACATTAGATTTGTAATGAGTGAATCAGACCACGATGTAGCAGGGTTTGAGGGTGAAACCACTGTTGGTCTGATTGCACCGGGAAGAGGGGAACATGAAATGCTTTATGTTGCTGCTACGTACAGTGTTGAAAGGGTGGACACTACCGGACGTTTTTCTTCAATCGTGAGAAGAAACCTCAGCAGTAATCCTATATTAAAAGCCCGGAAAGAAGTTCAGGATGCAATATTTTTCAATGATGCCGCCCAATCTGAAAGTTTTTTTATTACATATGTTGCATCCTTTAGCCATAATGGATTCACATATTTTGTTGCCAACCAGAAAGAGGATCTGAATTCTGCTCACTATGTTTCAAAGATGAACCGAGTCTGTCAAACAGGCCCAAATCTGGATGCATACACCGAAATCACCATCCAGTGCAATGAATCAGATGGTAGTGCGTACAGCTTGGTGCAAGCAGCTCACTTTGGACCAGCAGGACCTGATCTAGCCGCATCATTGGATCTACTTGCAGATGAGCAGGTGCTGTATGCTGTGTTTGCCAAGAACCAAGGAGCACCGGGTACCAGTGATGTACCAACCGATCACTCGGCATTGTGTGTATACAGGATGACTGATATCTTGGCTGGCTTCCAAGAAGCAGTACGGGGCTGTATTCAGGATGGTACAGCATACTCTGTAGGCTACTTGGATGGTTCTTTCTGCAGAATGTTTTCGGTAAGTAGACTAAATCAGACAAATGGTACACCTACGTGTACGTATACTGATCACTCAGCATTGTGTGTGTACAGTACAGGATGATTGATATCTCGGGTGGCTTCAGAGAAGCAGTGCGGGGCTGTATTCAGAATGGTACAACATACTCTGAAGGATTTGCAGGGTTCTACACGTACATCTACATGTAGTAGTATGCAGTATCAGTGTCGCTTTTTAGAATTTCTATAATAAGGGAATAGATGTGTGCTTCGCTAGTTTTAAACTTTCATTTAAGACCAGCACTGAAAAATGGAGGTGACTATGATAATTAAGAAACAGCCAGCCAAGCACATTAATTTTTCCCATTCATAAATGTGTATGTGATTTTTGAATCAGAAAGTAAGAACAAGTTTAGAAATAACAAATTTTCAACAATTGTGCTCAATAATTTCACTTCAGCACTTGTGTGGTGCAGACTGCATCAGTTTGTGCGCTGGTCATGTGACAAGCTGTCAACCGACAGGAATGGCTAAACGGTCCTGGGTATTTATTTATACATGTAGCATGGGGTAGGTTGGTATGGATATACATGTCGTGTAGCTTCCAATTGTGATGAATACAGTGTTGACCAGACTGCTGTAAGCAACGCTGCATGCACGTATCAACAGGATCATAAATTAAATGTAATTCATTTGATTACATGTACATGTACTTCTAATTGAGGAAAATGATAATTCGTTGGGTGCCTGGAAGAAGGACGTAAGCACTTACGCCCTTTTGCCGGGAAGCATGATCATTGAAAAAGAAACTTTTCCCTGCAAAAGGGATGTATGTATGCACCTGTTTTAGTTTAAATTAATGAAATATAAAGATTTCTTTCCACAAAAATATTTTAAAAGTTCCCAAGTTGTTTAATAAGTTGTTCAAAGATTGCTTTTTGAACAGCCTATGTTGATTTGTTGTAAATTTTATCTGTTTTTACTAAATAAAGAGAGTATGTTTCTTACGCCCTTTTGCAGGGAACATTTTTTCTGCTGTGATCATGCTTCCCGGAATCCCGGCTCAAGGGTGTAAGCGCGCTTACGACCTTTTTCTGGGAATATGACGAATTGGGAATGGAATACAGTGAGAAAGAGTACAAAAAATGACTGTGCTCTGATATTGTAAATGCTTTATGTACATGTACTTTTTCCAAAATGTTCCTGTGAGGGCAAGTGAGGGAGCCATTTTGTTTATTTTCAATTCACAGGGCGTTCAACCTGATAATTATTTGTGTAATCCTGTTGCTGATGGCATGACTCAGCTGTACAAGTATGCCAAAGGGATCACTCCTGTCTCATCTACAGCATTGCTTGAACAGCCCGGTAATTTGTTCAATTGTTTGCTTTCTCAAACCACCAGTTTCTTGTACAAATTTGTGACATTTTGAGTTTCTGAGAGATTTAACATGAGAAAGAAATGTTTTGCAGGGACTCTGATGTCATCAGTTATCACCAGCATCGAGGTCAACCAAACTTTGGCTTTCATTGGCACATCAAGTGGAAATCTTCTGAAGGTTATAATAAATTTAAGACTTGCTTGATTTAAATTTACTTACATGTAAGTGTGCATGTTCCCGTGGCTTGTTAACAAGACTGGATTATAACATGTACAATTTCAAGCAATCTTTTTGAGGGAAATTTTGCTTATATGAATTTGCTTACAGTCAGAATTTTATCGTGTGAAATGTAGATGATTAACCCAATTAAAGACGGAAAAAGCACCTAGCATACATTCGTTTGGAAAGACTTCATTTTTTTGTTTGAGCCACATTAGCAAACCCTTCTGTTATCAGCAGCATTGATCTCACCATGTTTCATTTGTTCAGGTTCACGTTGAGGATAAGACCACAGCCAGATTGTATGAGAGAGTGCCTCTAGATACCAGCCCAGTATTAACAGATGTCAAGATAAATGGCACAAGCAGAGAGATGCATGTACTCACTGAACAAAAGGTATTCTGAACCAACTGTATGATTGAAGGCATTTTTCCCTGGCATATTACAACAAAATTGTACAATTTCTGTAAAATGTCTGTAGAAATTATAATTACACCATACAGTGTACTTTCAAATGCCTTTAATACAACTAACAATATTCCATAATGTAACCCAAGACTTCTAGGTACATTTACGTACCACATTTAGCAATGTCCAGTGAGTTAAATCTCTCTAAACAATTTTCATTTCAGAGGCTTCTCTAGACTCTTATGGTAGAGTCATTAAAAGCAAGACTTGCATCCTTAGTATTAGTCCCTACACCAATTAAGTTGTTTTTCATTACTTTTAGAGAGAACTTAAATGTTCTTATTCAATGCAAATGTGACATTCAGAATTTTCTCCTTGTTTCATTATGGCCATTGAAACAGGAAGTTGGAGATAAACTGTTGAAGTAAATACCATCATGGCAGATACATGTAGGTGTTTCATTAAAGGCCACCAACTGCAATTATGTTTGCTTTGGTCAAAGGTAGACATGCATGTCTGTACAAAAGGTATTTTGATTTAGGGCAGACGTTTGCTATCTTGAAGTTTTGCTGCTCTCTCCTGACAGTTGATCAAAATGCGTGCTGAGAACTGTGGTCAGTATACCAACTGTGAGGCGTGTATTGGGACTGATGCAGGGAATGATGGAGACCCATATTGTGGATGGTGCACACTGGAAAGAAAGTAAGTCACAGAGGATGTCCTCAGCTTCCTAGTTTGTTGGTTTTTCACCTTCATTTATGTGGGAGGATTGGTCAGTCAGTCAGCCACTCAGTTTATTTGGGCAGAGTCGAGTATTAGAGAATGCCTCTTTGACTTGTCAGTTGTCAATCACTGAATCTTGGTGGTGTTTGCACGGCCTTTCAGATTTGTCTTTTTAATGGAACTGAACGTCCTTTTATCCAGTAGTAAAATTACAGTGATTATGGCCGTCTGCTATTGGAATGTTTTTACATTGCATTATATATTAGCCTTGAACCCATTCAGTGATGACTACCCTTGAACTGTTCATATTTCAGTTATATTTAATAAAGCACTAATTGTCATACATATAAAAAGTTCTGATGCCACACACACCAATTTCCTGTTAAAGGAAAAGTCAGCAATTTTTATCTGCTTAATGTCTGATGAGAGTAATTGCCCTCCGATGACAAATCTTTGGCTTCTTAGGTTAGCTTACAGAAGAGAAAAGCGTACAGACAACATAAAGTAAACACAAAATGAGTTCACATGAAAAGAAAAAGGAACTTGGTCATTGGTCGCTGATGGCTGCCAAGACACACTGTACACTGACATTAAATTATTCTCATAGATGTTCAAGATATTCCGACTGTGACTCCCCAGATGTACCCACTCGCTGGTTGGCCTACAACGCTGCTCAGTGCATTAATATTACCGATGTAGCTCCGTACGACAGTCTGTCAATCACTGTCACGGAACAACAGGTGAAAGTTACTAATATTGGTTGTTGGACGAATGTTTACAAGAAATCTGACGCACAGGTTCTCAATGGACAACACATTACATGTCAGCAGTGTTTTGCGCCAGAGTGACACCCATGTCAAGACAAATTATGCTTCTGGCCATTTAAGCACTTGATCGATATCAAAAGTGGAATTAAATCAGATGTGTATGGAATTATCTCATGTCTTTATCTTATTCATAGTTAAAGTAGGGTCAGATGTCTCAGAGGTTAACTTCCTCCAAAGTCATATTCCATAACACGAAAGGGTATGAACATCTTTCTTCCTTAAAAATACATCTGCAACACATTACTTTTATGAAATCAGTCCATAGGGGGATTATTTCATGGATAGTCAGGAGAAGATTTTTTACACATATAGGTCTAATTCCGCAAGGTAATTTACAGAGATTTTAAATGACATTTTGAATATTCTCTGATTGGTGCAATTCAGCATTGCTTTTGTTGACTAACATACAAGAGATTCCGTCATCAATGATTGTCCAGTTCAAAATGTAAACTTTATTCAGAAGTTTTCAGTTTGTGTATGAGTGCACATAGCATAGCATACATAGTTTGAAACTTTAAACAAAGGTAGTCCACATAATGTAGGGTTAGCATGTAGTGTTAGAAGACATGTGGGCTCACTCATGTCCATGCAGTGATTTCCTCTTTCTAAAGGAAATGCCTAAAGGCATTTGTGGTCTGGGGTTATTTGTAGCAAAATGAAGAGGAACAGTCCAGGAAATTGTCATTTAAAATCTAGCTCGAAGGAATTATCGTATAGAAAAAAGATCATTTTTTCCAAGTTTTCTAGGCCACGGAAGAAAAACGTAATGTCCATGTTGGGTATGGGAAGCAAGCATGTGTTTAAATTTGGGTGACCTGTGTCTGTGGAATGAGGTTCTTGGACTTGCCTCGAGTTCTTGAAAACGTCTTTATCAAGTCAAGTGTTGCTTTTAGATAAAATTGACAGTGCAGCAGTTACCCGACCTCAAGACTGATGAGAGTTATGCGTGTTACTTTGGGTCATACCAAACACCAGCTACAAAGAACGGTGATGTGCTCAATTGTACCTCTCCTCCAAGTAGTCAGATACCGCGCCTTCCACAAGGAGGTACGTTTCAAAGGATATTGAACATGCAGTAAAATAATTTCTCCTTGCTTCCTTGTCCGTAATTTGAATTCGGTTAGAATTTGTTCAGATTCTTTTGGAAATGCAAGTCATTTCTCAAACCACTTTTTATTTTTTGAACTCTTAAGATGAAAGGGCTTTATAAGTTACAGTCTTTTCAGTAATGAATTACAATTTTATAAGAAACATAATTTGTTGCTGAAGGGTTGGATGATCTTTTTTCTATTTGTAATAGATGACTCGGTCAGAGTTGATGTGGGGGTCTGGTCTTCTGAAACTTCTGTTAGATTCATTGACACCGACTTTAACTTTTATAACTGCTCGACTCATACTACGTGAGTACGCATTCCATTTAGTGTCCAAAATCTTGTTTTTCAGTCAAATGGACATGTGTTTCCTTTCTGTGTGCACTGATTTCCTTTTGACCCGTGCCAGATCATTTTCCTGTTGTTTGATTTGGTGCAATCACTTGTATAAATATCAAGGTTTTCTTTTGTCGTTTGTTTTCGTACATGTAGTTGTGTATCCTGTGTTGGTAGTCGCTGGGCCTGTGACTGGTGTGTGTTTGATAACAGATGTACTCATGAAAGCTCCACTTGTACTAAAGCTAATGAAATCATCATTACTGGAGAAAATGTAAGGATCTTAACTTCAACTCTTACAAACATTAAACACGTGGAGTTTAGTTGTTTTTAAGTCCTCAAAATTATTGGATATGAAGAGACATTGCAATTTTAAATTAGACAAGGCCAGGCAGAAGAGTGTTATTTCATAGGTTTCCTTTGACTTTTATTTCAAGAAATCCTATGAATGCAGACACTTTGGTTGAGTGCATGAGAGCTTTGTACTTTGGCTGTGGAAACCCTAACCGGTTAGGGTTACAAAATGCACTGTTGATGGCCATAAGTATCCTTAATTTTGGTTCTTCTTTCTGTTATCAGTTTGTATTTCAGCTATTGTTTTTCCAACAAATGTAATGAGTTGCTGGAAATTGTAAACAGGGAAGAATTTTATTTTTTGAGTGGGAGGAAACGGAGGTGATTACTAACGGTTGTTGTTTGTTTGTTGGGTTGTTTGTTTGTGAACTTACAGAATCCAGCCTCTTCCCCAATGCAAGGACCAGGATTTTGCCCTCAGCTGCTGAACCAGACTAGTGAGGTTCTGCTCCCTAATGACGTCAGGAGGAGTATAACCGTCACAACAAAAAATCTGCCAGCTGAAACTGGGGTTAGTTCTTTGTGCCGTTGCAATAACATCTGGCAATTTCATGTATCGTTCTCTTCCTGGTATCAGGCCCAAAAAAATTACAAAACCTCCCAATAGTGTCGATCACATGTATGCAAGAAATGTTCTCTTATCCCCCGTCTGTCATGACTTATACACAGGAAACTCTCAATTTTGTCATGCATGTAACTGAAATGAGCATATCCTGTCGCAAAGTATATCTTGAAATATGTCATGCGTGCCCCCAAGAAAGAGGAAAACTTCCAAGTTTTTGTAGGAAAAGAATACCATTTGTCGAAAAAAGTGTTATAAAAATGGCCTCGTGTGTCCTCATGAAGGGGTTTCCCCTTTTTAGAAGCCTGATCTCAGGTTAGATGGGAATAAACAATTCCTGTGTTCCTAAAATTTTAGGTGAATTGTCGGACTCGGACCATGTTTACTTTTCCCGTTCTTGGAGACATAGTAGGGTTGTGAGAAAAATTCTTCTGTTTATACTCGTTCGATACATACTGCACATGAATCTACATTTCTAGCTTGTGCATCTTTGTTCTTGGCCCATGAAAAATGCTCTTGTCTTTTTACTTCAAAAGAGTTGGTTTTTTTCTCTTTTTCCACTCTTGCAGATAAACTTTCAGTGCAGTTTAGATGTGGATGGATCGCCTGAGACTGTTGGTGCAGTGCGAAACGGAAATAATATCACATGCAACGAGAAAGCTGTGAGTTGTGTGTTCAAGAGTAACCAATGTTTATTGTTATTGCTGTAGTATTCATAAGAACAGAACTCATCTGTCAGATTACATTACAGAACCAGGGAGATTGAAAGAAATTATGTCATTCAATTCTGGGTGAAATGCGATATGTATTTATCTGTTTGTGTATTTCCATTTCACAGTATACCTACTCCTCTGATAATGAACCGGAGTTTGCAGTGAGATTGACGGTGACTTGGACTGACATGAATGGCTTGCCACATATCCTAGATGACATTTATGAGTTTCATGGTAGGTTACAGAGAAAGGGTTTTTAACACTATTTATCAATCAACATGCTTTGTTATTTAGCAAATCTTAAGTCTACTAGAGTCTACTAGAGGAGTGTTCTTACAGAGTTAAAGGTTGCATTGAAATGGTCCTTCTCATCAAATGTTATGTTTGGTGCTTGGTCCCATGTATATTTGTAAACATACAACACTATAGTCAGTGTGCTAAGGCTTGAGAAAAGTTCTAAAGCTTATTCTGATAGGATTTGAACCCAAGACCTCCTGCTCACCAGTGTTTATCTCTCGGCCACCGACCATTGATGAGTCAGCTGGCCTGTTTGAGTGAGGGGGAATTGAGTTTTTAGCTTACTCGGGTGGGACTTTGTCAATTGACCCATGACCTCTCGCTTACCAGTACCGTTACATTTCTCACAGTGTCTTGATATCCGCTGTGAAATATTGCAAGACGGGGCTTTTATGTTTGTTTGAAATTTATGCTCCACTATTGACAGTGACATTGTACAAATGTGAAGTCCAGAAACCAGACTGCAGTCGATGTGTTACAGCCCGTCCAGAGCTTGGATGTCTGTGGTGCGGTGCCGTGCCTACCGTGTCAGGTGTTTGCAAACTGAATGAAAGTTGCACTGAAAATATTGTGACTTTGTATAATGGAGTGAACTGCCCTGATCCAGTTCTCAGTGAGGTGGGTTGATGGACTTTTAGTTTATAATCAGGCTTTAGAGGTTGGTTAAATATTTCTGTGTAGTAAGTAAGCTATCTTTCCAAGTATTATTGTGTGGGGTCTGCGTCAACATTTTGTTGTTGAAGGTTTCTACATGTGATATTCTCATGATGGCACGATACTGCTTTCATCTTCATCAGGCATTCCATGACTTGCCTTGAATGATTAGACAGAGCCTTGCATGTGAGTTGACGTCAAAAGAATTATGACTTTCACAGCAGAATTTTAAGAGGGGTTTAGGATTTACTAATAGACCTTAATATTATGTGAACCTTAGCATGACGCTTGTTGTTGTTGTATTGTTAAATAAAAACTACTTTGCAGGTTTTTCCTTTGACTGGACCGATTCAAGGCAATACAATCCTCGCTGTTATGGGAACGGACATTGGTCGACGGTTTGGTGATGTCAGAGCTGTGATGGTTGGCAATCAACGCTGTGACCTGGATGGATTGGACTCTGATTATGTTATTGGATCAAGGTAAGACATGAACATTTTAAAATAAGGACAGTAGTTTGATTTCCCTTTACAGATAAAGAGCCATTTATAAATTAAAGCTCTAGGTTTGCTGTGTTTGTGTTTTTCTGACAGTATTTCAATATTATTTTGCCAGAAACTTAAAATTAATTTTTTTATAAAAATACCAGCATGTTTGGCTGGTAGAAATGTTGTTTGTTCATTTTCAATATAAGTTATTGAGTAATCTGCCCTCTGGTTTTTGCTTTCATTTGAAAGTAGATTTGCTGGGATAGATTACATGCAGTGTTGGAGTATTCTTAATTACCTACTGTTAGGCTTATTGAGCCTTATTATTGTATTTCAGTGTCAGCTGCAAGACGAGACCAGAAACTGAAGGAAGTGAGTTGGTCACTTTGACAATCACAGGGGCAGATGGTTCACAGCAGGACAGCTCAGGAACTGTCAACTTTCGATTCACTGTAAGTCATTCAGTACTCATCTTTCTTGTCCTCACTCTTATAATCCATCCAAGGCAACCCAAATCATGGTTTACAATAGGGAAAGGAAAGCCTTCTAAAAAGGCAGTACTTTTGGTTGATTTTTCAGATTTTTTTTCGAAAGGGATTTTTTGACTGAAAATTTTGATAGGGATTGTAAACCGTGTTCAGTGGGTGATATGTTATACGTGTACATGTGTTTGTCTGCACTCAACAACTACAAGGAATATTTTTGACTGAAAATTGTGAAAGGAAGAGATTGTAAACAGCTGAGAGGGTGAGTTTTTGTTCATACATGTACTCGTCAGAACTCGGAAAATGATTTCATACTATTGAGAACAAGCAAAAAGTACAGCAACTTACTCCTCCTGAACCCCACATTTGGTTAAATTCACATCAAACTGTATGTAATTCAATTGGAATTGAATAAAAAACATTAGTCTATAACTTATCAAACATAGGAAGAACTGAATGTCAGTCGCCAGAAATTACAAGTGGGCAGAGTGAGTGCTAATGCCACTATATTGGCTGTGAAACCCCTGCGTATGGATAGATGGAATGCACCACAGATAGCATTCCACAGATAGATAGACCAAATTTTCACGTCCCGTCCCAGTTCAGCGACTGGCTTTGTTAGGAAAAGGTCAACAAAGGTATGCATTGTGCACTCAAAAGAAGTGCATATCACGGATGCTGTGTTCCGAAGTGCAGAGGTCTTTACATTGTTGTCAGATTAGCAGGAAATACTTTGTTGGGTTGGGTCAATGTTCATGCTTTTCTTTAGGATGTGATCATATTATGTTGGGCAGGGTTATATTTAGGCATGACATGGAGCTGTTAAACAAGAAAAATATTTGTTGACTTACTGGAAGGTGGTCTTTGGGACAAACTCTTCAGCAAGGCCTTGAGTAGAAATCTTTAAAGCAGCCAGAGTTAATGTGGAAAAATAAGAGAAATGAAGAAATATTGTCTCTATTTTGGGTTAACCTTTCTTGCCATGGAAAAAGTACATTCAAGTATGTTTGCAGTAACCACTTCCTTTCTGTTGAGGAATGTATGCATGTAGGATTCGTGATACCTGTAGGTTGGTTTGTAAAAACAGTTCACGGTGAAGGGTTTGCCCAGCTTAACAAACTCTAGGTTTTCTGATTAAATATTCTTCATTACCAGGATCCTAAGATTACATCTTTTGAGCCTCGCTTTGGCCCGGAAGCTGGTGGGACTGTTGTGAGTGTGGACGGTTCAGCCCTCAATACAGGAAGGAAGATTGAGGCATTTATAGGAAACTTTCCCTGCAACATAACAGGGTAAATCCCGTCTCTTTCCTTGTAGGATGGAAATAATGGATGGAAATAAAATAAAATTGATTGGCAAATTTGCTGATCATATTGTCATTTGATGAGCATTTTGATGAAATCGACCTGCCAAAAAATAAATGGGCTTAATTCGGTATTATTACAAAAATTTCCGATGGCTTTGATTTTGGCCTCTTGCAATCTACATAACTCACAGTATAGGACAGTCGGTCCTTAATAGGACGGTGGGTCCTTAAGAAGACAGTCAGTCAGGACGATGTTTTCTGACCGATTCTCTTGTTTTAGCCATGGCATATCTCTCTGCCATTTTTCATTTCACGGTACATTTGGACGGGGCTTTCAGCATTTTTGTTGCGCATTGATCACCACAAAATGAAAGAAGTTAACACATGCTTACGTACGTCTGGAGGTATCATGCTTGGGGTGCATGTGCCTACGTGTAGTTTATGGTGCCACTTATCGTTCATTGAATGTATATGTATGCACTCGTAGTGTACTGTACCGAACTACACGTGCTGCATAATTCCACCAAATTGCAGCAACCTCATTTTTTCCATGATCCATGGGCCTCATGCTGCACGAAACTAGGACAAGAAACAGGGGGCGACTTTTCTTTGTCAAACGTTTAATTTTTGCTTTGAAGCCACTCTGTGGGGCCGGGGTCGGCTTCCGATCCATGCTGCGTGCACGCTGCAGTGCACAGTGGCCTGTGGGGGTGGGTTGTATGGCCATTGTTAGGCATGATGTAAAAAGAAATTTCATTTCATCAGTTTCATGTTTGTCAGACTTTTTGCGCGAAATGTATTGCACTCTGCGATGTGAATCCAGCTATTTCCATCACTGGGAAATCATCGTTGATATTTTTAGGTTATGCATTTAGTGCATGTCCCAGCACCTGTGTTGTCTTCATGTGTGAATGAGTTTGTTTCTGCATTCAATCGGGACCCTGAACAATAGAGGACAATAAGGTCCCCATTGACAGAGGGTCCCCGATTGACAACTCTGTACAAAACATATGGGTGGTCTTCTAAAAAAGTTGAAGTACAAACAAAAGAGGAACAATAGGGGGTCCCCAGTTGCAGGCAAATACACACTTGTGTGAGTTTGTGAGTTCCTCCATTGTGCATTTTCCCCGTTGTTCAACATGCCCACGATTTCCTTGATTCTGAAAATGGTGTAGTTTCCTTTTCCTTGTTGGTAAAAACATCCTGCTTTATCATTAGTTGATTTCTCGGGGAGTTAAAGTATTTTTTTTTTAAAGGTTCCTTGCTCCACCTATCATTGGAACTTTCAAAGGTTCTACCCAATATATGTAGCTGTTCCTTGAGAGATCATTATTTCTTGTTATCAAATTCTAACCCATTGCAAAGTAATGAGCCACTCTAATTGATTCTTAAATGAGCATTAGGACAAGTGCTTTTTTAAGAATTCTGTACATGACAGGTTTTCATCTTTTCATCCCGACCTTTGATGTGAGTGTGAAACACAGCATCTCTTCATGTGCATTCTTGTAATCCTTCTCTGAATCCTCAGCGAACGGTTTGAACCCCAGTTACATTGCGTAACTTCATCAGCAGGCCAAGTTGGATTTGGAGCTCCTCTGAATGTCTCATTTGACGGAACTCCAAGAATTTCATCTTCTACTTACACATATGTTGAAAATCCTGTCATCACCAGGGTTTCTCCCCTGAAAAGCATCATTTCGTAAGTGGATATCATTTGTTTTAATTGTATTGTCCATTTTTTTTTGCCCTGCGGCATTGTACATACCATCTCTTGTCTTCTAAATAATGTCCGGAATGTAATAAACAATTTTTTGTCCGTGCATGGATTCTCTACACTTATAAGCATTAATTTGTTTTTATTAAGGACGGTCTCCTTTCTAGGTTTTGTAGCTTGTCTGTTTCTTGTGAAAATGGTACTGTGAGGCTTCTGTGTATGTCCTCCATTTCATAAAGAAGATAATACCAGTCTATGCACTTGCATTTCTGATGAATAGTATATTAAAAAATACTTCCTTCTGTCAGACTGTTTGTGTATTGCTGATTGTTACTTGTCTTTATTTTTGTAATAATCAGAGGTGGTCGCCTGCTAACTGTCCGGGGAACTGCTCTTGACACTTGTGTGAACCGTCAGATTGTTGTCTTTGATGGGAGTGGCAATCAGGAAGTTGAGGTGAGAGGTCATACAGACTAATCCTGGCCCTCAGACAGGGGATTGCCTAGCTCTCATCCCTCATGTTTCTGCCCTTCCCGGAATCCAAACTGTCACACTCCACCTCCTGCCATCTTTGATATTTTAAGCCAACGAAAGTTATCGTATCGTGACTGTATGAAAAAAAATCAATAATAACATGGTAAAAGAACAAAGAAGACTCTTCAGCATGGCAAGTGAAATGTCATGGAATAGCGTCTGGCTGTGGAGGGACCACATTTAATTGTTGGCATCTTGAAATATGGACCAAATATGTGGGTTGTAATACAGTCAGTCTGTCTCACGTTACAGAAGAAAGACTCGTTTGTGTTTTTCAGAAATGTAGCGGCGAATCCGACATAATGATGCAGTGCCCGTCACCAAACATAACGAGATTCACCAGGGCTGCGGCCAATGAGAATGTGACCTTTGGCTTCATAATGGACGGGGTCACCGAGCTAATGAGGTGGTCCCTGGACAACGGTATGAATTTGGAATACTTCCAGGATCCAGTATACTACGAATTTGAAGACGGAATCAGAAGGAAAGAGGGCTCCACATTGAACATCATGGTTTGTATGAATGGAAGGCAGTCAGTCCTTAAGAGGACGGTCAGTCCTTAAGAGGACAGTCGGTCCTGAAGAGGACAGTCGGTCCTTAAGAGGACAGTCGATCCTTAAGAGGACAGTCGGTCCTTAAGAGGACAGTCGGTCCTTAAGAGGACAGTCGGTCCTTAAGAGGACAGTCGGTCCTTAAGAGGACAGTCGGTCCTTGAGAAGACAGTAGTGTCCCTGATTCACAGAAGGGTCCGCAATTGACAGTGTTGTAGAAAATATGAAATAAACAGCAAAAATAAGGGTCCCCAATTGTAGGCTAATACACAATTGTATATGTGCATAATAATAATCATAATTAATGGTGCTTGTGTAGCACTTGGTAGCTAAAGTACCAAGGTACATTTATTACCCCAGCTCATTGGGCCAGGGAATCAGTTTCTGTAGCAGCTATTTCAGTGGAAGTGTGTTCAGTTACAAGTGTGCATCATAAGAAAGGAGGCGAGAGGGACCTTCCTGGTTAAAGAAGTAAAAAAGTATCCAAGAAACTAAAATCTCTTCAGTTCATTTATTTGTCGGCAAATCAAGAATAAGCATGAAATTTTCATGAAATTTGAATAATAATGAGCAGAGGAGGCCTCCAAAAACCAATGCCTATAAGCCACATGCGAGTTAAATTTGAATAAAATCTGGTACTCTGATTTTATCTGATTGCACAGAAACCTGACAATTTTAATTCCCCAGACTAAAGCCACTGTTGCTATACCTCGTGATTTGGGGCAAGCTTTTGCATAGCGACCACCATTTCTGGAATGGACTGGTTCCTTTGTGCCCTTCTTATCCATTGAGAACAGTGCATTGTTGCCAGGCATCTCTCATGTAACTAAGTAAAAGCTTAGCGGAATCACGAGGTATAGCAACAGTGTTTTTAGCATGACGAATTCAAATTGTTACGTTCACGTAAATTTAAAAAAGCAACAGGTGTATTGAGCAGATAGAGGACCCCTTAAGTAAATTCTTGAGAGAAACTTTGCTTCGTTATCATTAACTGTGATGAGATCAAGAGGAAAAGTGCCAAAACTGCTAAAAATTTGAAGACAAGATGAGAAGGAATTTTTGTCCATAAGCTCTAACAATGGCTGCACAAAGGGACGTTCATAAATCGCATTTGCATTCGATTAAGAATTGTAAAAAGTCACATGGAGTGCTTGTTAACATTTCAATTTGGTTTTCCTCCCTTGCATCAACACTCGGATTAAGTTTTGCAGTGGCATGTTCTCTCAGAATTTCCTGAGGGCGCCCCCTGACATTATAATCTGACACCAGATGGGACTTCCGGAAAGTGGAAAGTTTTTTCTTTGTGCGCTTCCAAGTTGTCTGTTTTGCACATCTCTGATGTCATACATAAACTGAAACTGTGGGAAACAGCAGAGGTCGTATGGGTATGGCCAGACTTATTGACCTGGCATTCATGTGATCAAACCATGGTTAAGTTTTACACTGCAGCAGCTTTCCCCATGAAAATATTACCAAAAATAGTCCAATGTGAGCACGGCCATAGAGACTAGAGTATGACACCTCATCCTTGGACACCACGTAGGTTTTTGACTTCTGGAAATTGCTATCTTTTGTTCTTGGAAGTTATTCTCTGGAATACCTGTTGCAGGGTGAGGGAATCGACTCGGCAGTCACAGCTAATGAAATCATCGTAAGGATCGGAACTGAGACCTGCGACGTCTCCGTGATTGCAGAGTCCATCCTCCAGTGTTCACTGCCTGACAATCCGCCTTCACCTGGGGACTTCTTGGGAAATGATACACAGAGAGGTCTGCCTGTGGTTTGGGTAAGGAAAAATAAAAGACAACTTTTCTCAATTTCATCAAACGTTACTGAAGACATGATATATTGTAAAAAAGGAAACCTGCTGAGTGTACTTATGCAGACGATACATTGATTCCAACAAAGAGGTGATAAATCTGACCCTGAACATTTTCTCCGTTACCGTCCCAGAGCATTTTTTTTTCAATCGTGCTTGACATCTTGGAGTTTTTATGCATTGTCATGGTCAATTTGAGACCTAAAAATAGGACATACTTTCCCTTAAAATTTCACCTTCCCAAGAAACATCGAAACATGAAAATGTTAACTCTAAATAACAATAAACTCTTGTTGAATTGAATAGAGACTAGACAAATGTACTCGAATGGGATGATTTTTTTTTTACATGTATGCCAAGTTTCAAAAAGATTTGTAATGGGACAGCTAAGATTGTGGGAGGGGTGGTTTTCTTCAAATGACATGCATGGCAAATGCCCAAGCTGAAGGAATTCTCAGGTATTCTGCAATTAAACTTAAGAACCGAATCATATTTTGGGTTGAGGGATCCGTGTATACTTTTCAGGCTTATGATTTGGCCTCATCGCTTGTCTCCGTTTTCAGGTAATTCACAGCAATCTGCGGGTGCGCATCGGTTACATTGAGTATCCCCCTAACGATCCGACCATCCCCATTGTGGCGTCAGTCAGCGGGGCCATCTTGTTGTGCATCCTCATCGCGGTCTTCTGTTTTGTGGCGCAGGTGTATGGAGCCAAACGAGAGGCAAAACTCATTTTGCAAGACATGAGAGACTTAGAGGAATCGCTGGCTGGTGAAGTCAGGCAAGGTGTGTACATCTTATTACCCTTCTGTTCCGGCAGCACTATGGTGAATCTTTTTTGCCGTGATCCGGCTCTGAAGTTGGCATCATGTTGCCATGAGTAGTACTGGTTAATGATCAAAGTTTAATCACAGGACTGATTTCCTATAGCCTGTGACAAAGGCCTTGACATGACTGGACCACCTTCAGTGGTCAGACTATATCTGCGGTGGTTTCATCTGCCACATCATATGAATTGGCCCCTTTGCTTTGCCGAGCACTGACATCTTTGGTTTGGTCATTAGCTTACATCTCACCTGCCGTCCCACAAGACATTTACACTGTGGCCCGCCCACTTACTCCTGAAATTGCTCCTGGGGAAGACCTTGCCAGCTATGGTGTAGCTGTGTCCCCCTCAACCTCATGTCCCGGTCTAAGCCCATGCTGGCTACTGGCCCATGCAAAGTATTTGACTTGAGATTGGTTCGCTGCTCACTTTTGCTTAGCACAAAAATTTGCCAAAAGTCGTTTTCTGCTCAGCCACGATGTTGTTTGTTCACATGTACCTCCAATTTCAGAGGCGGCAAATGACCGATCTGTCATGCTAAATCAATCTGATCATATTTTTACTATTTAGGGAGAGCTCCTAGATAAGTTCCATGTGTTTGAAAATATCGCCAATTTATGACATTCTGCCGCACTGTCTTTCAGCTTTTGTGGAGCTTCAGACTGACATGACGGATTTGACCCGGGACTTGGAAGTGGCCGGTATGCCGTTTGTCAGTCACCGAGATTATGCGACCAACATGCTGTTCACGGGCCAGGCGATATTGCCAAGCACTGAAGATGAAGAGGTACTGATATAAAATATTCACCTTTGGTGAGAAAAAACGTCTGCTCACACCTCCAACATTCCTCAGATGTTATGTAATCATACGGTCAACTGGGCCTGAGGTACACATAGGCAGGTGTCATGGATGTTCTGAATGCTTCAGCGGCGCGTGGGCTGTTCTTGAAATCCTGGTGTCAGCTATCATGCTCGTGAACCAGTTGCAGCAAGTGAAACATTGAAGCCAAGTGAAAAGTACTCCAGCCTTTGGCTGCAATGGGATCTTGTGATATTGAGCAGTGAACAGGGCTCCATTCAGCCAGAGGGTCTTAAAACCGGGAACCAAAGGTCTGACCCCAAAGCTAAGAAACATTCCTAAGGCTTTGTGCTGAAGATGTGAGTGTGTCAATCCTAATAACATGTATACTGTTCCTCTGTACATCCAGCACCCGAATGAGCAAGTAGAGAGGGCCATGCACAAGTTCTCCCAACTCCTTAGCAACAAGAATTTCCTCCTCCTGCTCATCCAAACACTGGATGAAGAGAGAGGCTCCAAGTTGTCCATCCGAGAAAAGTAAGGCGCCACTGTTATTCTTTGCTTTTGAGTACTCTACACTGCAAAGTTGGGTTGTGATATCAAGTTGTTGGCAACTCTGTTCTTGCCAGTTGCCTTGGATGCGATTGATTTGTCGCACAGTATATTACAGTTTATCAAGTTCCTAATTCATGTTTTTATTCAACCAAAAAGATGAGACATGTAATGAAAAACTTAAGATATTATTGTTAGAATTGCAGCATTCAAAAAATAGCAGGTGATGAGAAGACATGAAAGTCAGGTGAATAGAAACAAGAACCAAAGGAAGCAGTGATTGCATTAGGAAGAAACAGTCAAAAGAAATTCATTCATAGAAGGATGTACACAATGTAAATTGAAGTATTTGAGATATGGGATGGTAATTTTTTTCTTTTTATCTTTGTTGATTTTCATTTCAGGCAATCCATTGCGTCTCTTCTGACGGTTGTGATGATTCTTGAGAATAAACTGGTCTACATGACCGAGTAAGTGAATTTTCTCTATTATAGACTTTGTCAAAATGATCACAACTCCTGAGATAAGTTTGGTCAGGTGTTCAAACCCACTTTGTGCACCTGTTCAAAGTGGCTCACTACAGTGCAAGGAATTTCAATATGAGACATCAAATATTTTTACATCTCAATTACTAACCTATCAGCCTGCCTCATGTTTGTTAACTCTTTAATGAGTTTGAATCATCTTTAGGATACATTACTTCCCTTCACATTTTTAATCATCAGTATGAGACATGTAATCAAATTTCTGTCTGACTGTAAGAGGCCATAACTTGTCTTTGTTCTGTAGTGTCATGATAACATTGATGACCCGGATGATCGAGGATGCTGCTGATTCTAATCGCACCCGCCAGCTTTTCTGCCGGTAAGGAAGTCTGCGTTCTGAACGTTTTTTCTCCATAATTGAGACTCTTTTTTGCCTGAATTATCTAAGGTGAATGTTTGGAATGAATATTCTGATCTGGCATTTATGCTTGCGCTGATTGCAGAACCGAGAGTATTCTTGAGAAGCTGATGTCAAACTGGGTTGCTCTTTGCCTTTACGATCAACTTAAGGTAAGACTTGATGCTCTTTCAAGAAGACTGCTCAATTGCTCACGTTTGCCTGTGCTTGCAGTTCCATCTCTGTTGTCTTTGAGCTTTCATAATCATTGTTCGCAGATTTGATAAAATTTTCATCTTATAAAATTTTTGATTTCAGCATTTCTTTCAAACACTTGGCGAATTTCCAAATGCAGACTTACTTTCTGCCACTTCTGAGCTTCGAAAACAATTGACTTTAAGTCATTACCTGTTCTCCATTTCGGATCCTTGCTGTCCATTAGTTTTTGTCATTTGTTTTTCTTCACTGAAACCCTTTTCGTTTCTTTGTTATTTAGCTTCACACCGCCTATCCGCTGTTTGTGTTGTACCGAGCCATCAAGTATCGAAGTGAAAACGGTCCCATTGATGTCATCACCGGTCGCTCACGCTTCTCGCTTAACTACGAGAAACTTCTGCAGGAAGACGTCAAATTCAACCCAGTCGTGAGTCCATGTTTGTTACATATGCTCCTCAAATTTGCACTGACCCTACATTCTCGTGTCTATATTTTGGCGCCGCCGGGAGGGTTTGTGATCGAACAGGTTGCATTATGTCAAGCATTTTGTCAACATTCCAAGGGGCCAAGACACCAGGTACCCTCATATTCATGAACGAATGACTTGGAGTGCACCAGAGTGATTATTGTCCCAATAACGTCCAAAAAACTGTTGGATTTTCACACTTAAAAAACCCATAGGGTTTTGGTCATACAGGCACAAGGCACACAATTGTTAAGAAAATGTAGCCAAGCCCCTGTTTTGTCTATCTATCACTTCAGGAGGGTTCAGAGGTCGAGCAGAGGTCACAGAAACACAGAAACTGTAGGTCCAAAGTGAGAAAGCAGGATCACTTCCAAAATAATAAAGAATTGCATGTGCATATTTTACAAGTCACTGTCCTCATCCAGTGAAGAGAAGTTGAATCTTTTTTTCTCAATTCCAATATCATTTCAAACATAATCTCTCTCAAATTGCTGTTTAGCTTGGTGCAGACTTAATAATGGTCTCTTCTCCAATGTAAGACATTATCACACATTTTTCTATTTCTATAGACTCTTGTTGTTCTCATGGATGAGCGTGGAAAAACCACCAGAGAAGTCAAGGTGCTAGACGTTGACACCATCTCCCAAGTGAAGGAGAAAATACTAGATGCCATCCATGGTAACAAGCCTTACTCCAGCCGACCAAGCGCCAATCAAGTCAGTCTTGGTACGGAAGAGCTGCTGGTTATCAACATGACGTTTAACATAACAATGTGGAAAGAAAAATTAAAAATTGAAAAAAAAAGAATGTTGTGCTTTATGATAGTATATGAAGATTGAGTTCTTTCTCACTGTTATGAGTTTTAGCTGGATGTTTTGTAACAATTGTTTTTCTATACACCTTGGAGTTCAGAGTGAAGAACAGTCTAAAAACAGTTCATTTTCAAAAGTAATTTCCAAATACCTTATTTTTACCCTTCCCATTCATCAAGAGCCCATCCCACTGGCGGTTATCAACAAATGATGAAAATTACCAACTGGTTTCAAACACTATTTCCTGGTTCCATTCAAAATTGTGACACTTATTTCAATATAGATTCTATAGATTCTAACCCACAGTTATTGTCACGTAGGCATTCCAAATACAGCCTATGAATGTGCATTTCATAGGGTTGGAAAGTCACTCTACACAGGCACGTACAGCTGTGTTTTGCATTGCAACAGGCATCATCATTGCCAGTTTCCATATTAAGGAGATTTCTGTATTGTGGGCTGTAGGCACATACCATAGATTTGTCTAGCTAGCTAGAAGGGCGTCTAACAAATCACGAGATTATTTCAGTGAACAAAAATCCTTTTGAAAAATGTAAAATTTTTTACTTATTTTGACTTTCTTACCAAAAAGCATGGATGGGAATCAAAGTTTGATCTATTTTCATCTCAGCTCCTTATACAGATTGGAATGTAGTTTGAAGCCATTTCATCACACTTTCTCCCCTGAACATGATTGCTTTTCCACTGAATCCTTCCAGAATGGCGCCAAGGAAGGGGCGGGAAACTAGTTCTAACCGACATGGACGTGAGGCCATTGACAGACAAGTGGCGCAGAATCAACATGCTGCAAGATTTCCATGTGAGCTTTCCCACCGGACAAGAACTGTACCAGTCTCCTGTACAGTTTTTCAGTTGGAAGGAAATCTACAGAAAACATACCTAATTGTACAGAGCTATGCTCATCAATTGGTTGGCTGTGCCCCAAAGCTTCCCTTGATATCTAGGCACCCACTTTTTATTTTTTGTGTGTGTTAAGCTCCTCCCACCCCAAACAATGCTAGCAGCTCCTATTGTCCCACGAACAAAGAGTTAGCAGTGCCCTCAAACCCCACAAGTACATGTTGTCTAGGCACCAGATTATTTTTTTAGAGACTGTCTGTGCTTAGCCCCTCCCCCAGCGAAATTCTTTGTTATTGCTCTGCTTAGAGGTCACTCATCCATGCCCTTAAATAGGCACCGTGAAATCTTTGCCCAGACCCCATGCACGTAGGCCAGTCTTGAATTTAATTTCAGTCAATTTGTTTTCACTTCAAAATTGTATTTCAAGCTTAGTTATTTTGTGCTGTAAAATACAAGTAATCTGTTTTGATTTGCACTCCACAGAAGACTTTAATTTGCAAAAATTCAACTGATTCACTGGTAATCTGTTATCCTTGGTCACCCATAGGTTAGAGACAGTGCCCATGTAGTCTTGGTTGAGAAGCAGGATGTGCCAAATGCCAAACTTTCTGGAGCACTGCAGGTCCAGGGCACATCTAACAGTAAGACTGTCTAGCTACTAGAATTTTCTTCTAATTAACACAGTCCATGTCAGCTGATATGGCTTTTTCCCCCTCAAAGTAGGAAAAGTGTAGAGGGGATTTTAAAGAAGTGGAACTTGGCTGAGGGTTTCACTGGAATGTTACATTATACGTTGGATTTTATTCAAATTTTCTGCATCAGACTTGGAACAATGTGGAATGATTGACCAAATTTAGGAATATTCAACATAGCTGTGGGAAGCGGAAATACACGACTATTTTTCAAACTATACACGCAAAGTTTACCCTGAGAGTAAATATCTTTGTGAGGCATCGTGAGAAAGCCTGGCACTCCTCCGAATACAATATCAAAGAGTTTAAAAGGTTTTGTCCAAGCAGTGGACCGAATAAGTTTCACCCCAGCGGTTTTTCAACAGAGAATAATAGCACAAGGAAGTATGGCACGAAAAATAATTCTTCATTGTGACATGCTTTTCAGTTCATCTTTTCATGCTGCCAGGGCAAATAAAATCAGCAACTAAAGAAATAAACGAAAGGGGATTTTCTTGGGAATACAGTTTCTTTGGAATATATTTTTCTTCCCCAACCCTTGTTTTTGGTCGTCAGTCACTGTTTTTTTGGCAGGACGTGTACTCTGGGGAAGAAGGAAATTTGTGTGCATAAAAGAAAGAAAACTAGAGAGATGAATGTTGTTTGTGTGGCCATGAGGAAGGACGTGCAATCATGTCAAAACTTGCAGTTGATAAAAAATACTTACAAAAGAAACAAATTGTTGTAGAATAAGAATTTTTTTACATTGAACATGTTAAAATCTTGGGGGGACCGTCTCAAACTAAAAAAAATGGGCATAAATGCTTCTTTTTCTTGTTTTTTAGCATACCTCTGATGCAGAATAGAAATCTTGCTGGTAGAAAGGTTGGTTAGATTTTTGCAAAACAAGACCGAGACATTGTTGAAGAGGAAATCATTGTGTGGCATTACAATTAAAACCAATCTTGTGTGGAATTAATTATGCTGTAGTGATAAATAGCAACAAGAGGTTTTGTGTAACACTCAAGTATATACCTTTCCCACTGATGGGTAATTAATTCTACAGCTGTTTTTTTTTATCACAGATACTTTGAAACAGGTTGCCTTACCTTGCAATTGTTCCTTTTTGAAACTCAAAACCAGCTTAATAAGTTTAACTGGTGCAAACACCACTTGTATTTAAGAAGCTTGTCTAGGCTTTGGTTGTTTTATTCTAACCATCAGTTAATTTCAACTTTGATGATGACGAGATTCAGCATAGAAAGAGCACCAAGCAACCTTACTCTGTTGCTGAAGTGGAGCAGCAGGAAGGCATCATCGACTGGCATCTCGTAAGAAACTCAGAGAGTTCATTATCTTGAAACCAATTAGAAGCAAGGATCAGTTTCTTCTGGTCAATTTTAGGTCTTACAATCCTGGACTTTCTATTTTGATGATGATGTGTGTACTTGCAACATTACAGAGAGAGTGTTACATGACGGCTGTGATAAGACAGTTTTCATGACTGTTTTGTCAAGAGTTTAGAATGTAATTAGGTCAGGAGCATCTTGGGATAAGGAGCAAGGTTTTGAATGAGTTTGCATAGAAAAAGAAATATTGCAGTATTTGAGAGATTGAAACAAGCATTTAGAAAGTAGTTTTATAACTGACTACAAGATAACAGGAACATAAACAGAAATAAAACAATTATTTGATGTGAAATTGGTGAGAAATAGATGTGACAGAGAAGCCTTGTGCCTCGGATAACAAGATGGAGAACAGATGTTTCAAGGAGATTTCAGACAAATTGTTCTAGTGTTTTCCCAGTTATGGATTTACTCTTGAAGACATCTTTCAAAGCACAAACTAGCACAAGAGTAATATCCCTGTCCTTTTCACTGAAAGACCCAGGAAGAGGAGTGGCCTACAGATGAGGAAGGAGGCAAACGGAGAAAGCAAGGAGGATGCATCTCACTGGACGTTGTCACCTCCAGGAACAAGATAACCCGTCGCAAGATCAAAGAGATCTCCTTCCCAAGGCTCCTTTCGACAAAGGTTGGCAGGGGCACTTTAAATTTGGAAAAAATACTGACAGAGAGTTTGTACCACAGCGTATTTGTAATACATAATTTACTTCTTCATCAAACACAGCGTTACTGTGATGTTTGGTGTTGCTGCTTCTATGACCTTGTTTAACCCATTGAAACTAGGGTTTCAAGGAGTGTGTGTCATTCTTTCATATCTCTTATGTGAACCTGAAAAATGCTGTTTTGGAGGGAGACTGGATTATTTTGACAGCATTTTAAAACTATGCAATTGCTTTTTATCACGTCTTGTTCAGGGCATTGTCCAGGCGTATGTGAACAACATGTTCAAGGCCATTCTGTCAGTAGAGAGTGCCCCCAAGGCCATCAAGTACCTGTTTGACTTCTTTGACAGTCAGGCTTACCGGCATGATCTGTTGGAGAAAGACCCAGACATAGTCCACGTTTGGAAGAGCAACATGTACGTGTTAAACAAATCTCTTGCTTGACAGCTACAGTATGGATTTATCAATGACAGAAGTCTGAGTATGGAGATTGGCTATGAAGAGCTAGATGGTCCTTACACGTTCTTGGGACTTTTTAAATACGTCGTGGGCATTCCTGGCTTTGTCTCTTGTCTTCATCTTCAGTTCAACAATTACTTTGAAGTTTGAAACATTCACCATTGAACCAAATGACAGTATCGCCAAAATGTGGCCTTTAAACATTTTTCGAAGTCCAGGTAACAGAAAATGAAGGTGCATTGGGCTCAGAGGACTGAATTTATAAACTCTGGAACTGGAACACAAAAGTTTGGTTCGGGACCTCCCTCCCGTCCCTTGTATGTATCTGTTTTCTTGAGAAATAGAATCTGGATTTACTTTGCTGACAGAGTGAGTTTAGTAAGGAATTTAATAAGGATTATTTTTTGTCGTCCCAGTTTGCCACTGCGTTTCTGGGCTAACGCCATCAAGCACCCTGACTACATCTTTGACATCCACGCATCTCGCACTGTAGAAGCCAGCCTAGACGTCATCGCTCAGTTATTCCATGATTCGCATGATACCAAGACCCAAAAGCTGGGCAGGGTAAGTTGAATCAACATCCGAACTTAGTGGCCAGTCTTAGGGTGTTGGCAGCCAATATGAAAAACTATTACTGAACTTTGAATTGGTTTCTCATGTAGACTTATAATAAGTGAAGAATTTTCTACTTGCAAAAGGTCACTTTAAGAGAAATGCATGAGAATAGTATGTAAATCTGAACAAAAGGGCTTTCTTTGTCACAGGAGACATCCATCAACAAGTTGCTGTATGGCAGAGAGAGGACAAGGTACCACGATGACATTGTCTCCTTCTACGAAGAAGTAGAAGAGTTGCCTTCAGTACCCACTCAAGAGCTGAACAAGGAACTCTACAAAGCTTGCGAGGTAAAATGTCATTGCCAAACAGGATCTACATTTAGTCATCAGTAATTTTGTTATCTTCTCGCATATTGCTAATGGAATGGACGTGTTTTATCAATGTAATCACACTGTTATAAAATACAGCCTGGTCTGAGCATAGAATTGCTTCATTTGTTGCGTAAAATTGCTGCCTGCCCTACAAGCCAAAGAAGTGACCACAAGGACAATAAAGACCAGGACATCAATCGTCCTTAAATAGGCCCATCGAATCAATGACAAAATAAAAGGGATTGGTAATTACAAACTCATGACTCATCTATACCCAAATAATGCCACGATGTCTAAGTGTCGAAGTCAATATCGGAAATT